CTTCCAGTCCGGGGCCTTCCGGATCCGAGCCTACCTCGACTGGTCCCGGGTTGGAGACCCCCGGTCGTGGCTCGGGAGGGGATCGTCGGCAGCTCGTTCGACAAGGTCAACGTGAAAGGTTTTATGGACATCCCCCGGGACATCAAGTTGTACTGTGAGCGGGGTCGGGACGCCGGTGACCTGGTAGCGACCTCTAACCCAGTCAAGCTTTTTACTGGGGCGCTGTGTCTTTAGGTTTCGCAGGCTAAGCCAGACCCAGTCCCCAACTTGGAAGCGTTCCGCAGGGCGGCGGACGCGGTCTGTGGCGTCCTGTAGTTGCTGCTGAGCGAAGGCGATTGCGGCTTGGGCTAATTCAGTCCCATCCCGGAGTCTCTGCATAAACGCTGTAGCTCGCCCGGCGGGGCTGTTCGGGCTCGTGGGGCATGCCTTAACCGATTGTATAGGTTCAATATCGAAGCCGTGGAGGAGCCTGAAAGGGCTCACCTTTGTTACGGATGAGTCCCGGTTATTGAGGGCTAGCTGGCAGGCCGGTAGGTGTAGGGGCCAGTCTAGCTGCGAGAAGGCTACGACTGTTCTTAAGGTCGCCTGTACTTCTTGGTTCGCCCGCTCCGTCCCGCCGTCTGTCTGGGGGTGGTAGGCTGTTGATAGCAGTTGCTCTACCCCCGCGAGTTGACATAGTGTCCGCCAGAAGAAACCGACCCAGTCAGACCCCCTATCACTTATTATTTGGGAGGGGAACCCGTGGAAACGCCACCAGACTTGTTTAAACCGTTCCGCGCAGGCGTCTGCCCTCATTGAGGTCATCGCTTCAAGCTGTACGTACTTAGATAAACGGTCGGTAATTACCATTAGGTATCTAGGGTCTTCATTAGACCTGGCTGGTAGGTCCGTCATGAAGTCGATAGATATCTGTTTCCAGAATTGGTCGGGTGGGGGAAGGGGTTGCAGGAGTCCCTGTCTTCTTTGCCGCGAAGCTCGGGCTGCTTGGCAGGTACAGTTTCGGACTATCCGGGCCGCGGTCTGGGACATTCCGTCCCAGTGGAAGCTTCTTCGCAGGATATTGAAGGTCGAGTTCCGTCCTGGATGTCCTGATAGTGGCGAGTCGTGGGCTTGCTGGGCGAGGCGTGTAGTTAAGGGTTCTACGGTAGGGACCCAGATCCTCCCCCTGAACAAGAGAGCCCCGTGTGCGCTCAGTGTACAATCCGCAATCTGGGCGATAGTCTCTGCCTCTTTGGAGAATTTCCTTTTCCCCTGCTGGACGTCGGTGAGGCGGACCCTATAGGCCCCGTCCTTCGTTACTGCCTCGTCCCAGAGTAGCTGGATATCGTTCTCAGTGAAGAGGTCCCGTCCTCGGGGAAGATGCGGGGCGCCTGTAGGAGGGGGCTCCCCTGTGCCCTCTTCCTCCCCCAAAAGAGCAACGGAGATTGGTTGGAGTAGCTGTCCTAGCCGCGGCTCGCTATCGGCTGCGTCCTGATCTCGCCGTGATAAGGCATCGGGACGGAGCCCTTGTGCCCCCGGTCTATAACGGAGGTTGTAGTGGAACAAGGATAGAACCTCTCCCCATCTCGCCTGCCTCTCGCTTAGAAGCCGTGGCGTAATGAAGTACTCGAGGTTCTTATGATCTGTGAGAATCGTAAACGGGGAGGCTACGCTTCGCAATTCAGGGGCCCACGCTTTGAGGCAGGAAATCACAGCGAGCATCTCCTTATCGTGTATCGGATAGTTCCTCTCCGCGGGCGTTAGGGCCGCTGAGTGGTAGGCTACCGGGTGCAGAATGCCGTCGACATACTGGGAGAGACATCCGCCTAGCGCTCGCCCTGAGCTGTCAGCTTCGACAACGGTTTCACGATCAGGGTCCCACTGCGTGAGGACCGGGTACGAGATGAATATACTCTTCATATCTTGGAAAGCCTTCTCCTGGTCGGGCCCCCAGCGGAATGGGACATCCTTGCGCGTGAGCTGGGTGAGAGGTGTGACCATGTCGGAGTAGTGGCTTACGAAGTCCCGGTAGAAGTTAGCAAACCCTAGGAAGCTCCGTACCGCGCGGACATTACGGGGAGTTTCCCATTCGGAGATGGCCCTAATCTTCTCGGGGTCGGGTCGGACTTCCTTTCCAGCCTTGACGATGAAGCCGAGGTACTTTACTTCCTGCACCGCGAATTCGCATTTCGCACGATCCAGGAATAGTCCGGCGTCTAATAACCGTCCTAGAACCTTGCGGACCTGGTCCATATGTTCTTCGCGGCCCCCAGAAGTGTAGATCAGTATATCGTCTAGGTAGGCTGTAACCGAGTCCATCAAGTCGTTACCGATAGCCCGATTAATATACCTCTGGAAGGTAGCCGGTGCTCCGGCTAGGCCGAATGGTGTAACGAGCCACTCAAATAATCCGAACCTTGTACGGAAGGCTGTTAGGTACTCTTGGCCAGCCGCGACGCGGACTCGATGGAATGCAGCCCGGACATCCAGCTTTGTTAGCCATTTCGCGCCGGAGAGGTTCCGTAGCGTTTCCTTGATAAGGGGAAGCGGGTATCGGTCCTGGACTGTAATCTTATTGAGGGCGCGGTAATCTACGCAAAACCGCCACCCCCCCCCCCCCCGGGTTTCTTTACAAGAAGGACTGGGGCCGCGGTCGCAGAGGAACTTGCCCGGATCCAGCCCTTATCCTGTAAGTCGGTAATCTGTCGTCGGAGCTCTAAGAGGTGATCCCTTGGCATATTGTAGAGCGGCCCCACCGGTAACTCGTGATCCTTTCCCTCCTTATCCTTCTTAAGGCGGATATGATGGTCCATAGGGCCACGATGAGGGGGTAGCTGAATTGCGGTATCCTTATCGAACAGCTGCGTAAAGCCTCTAAGTTCCGGGGGAAGCGGTTTCTCCTCGGGCTCGACCGGGTTCCTCGCCCGGATCGCCGTATTAATATCGTGGATACTAACCGCCATTACAGTCCTTCCCTCCTGGCCCCCTTTCCGTAGGAGGCGTCTCATTACCGAGCCCGAAACTCTAGTTAGGCGCGAGCGCCCACCCCTCTGTTCGGAGGTCCTTACTTCGAGGTCCCAAGCCGCACCGATATTCAATGTTCTCCTCTGGGCGTCCATCCGTACTCCCCAGCGTTTAATCCACGGGAGGCCTAAGATTAGGTCTCGGGAGAGCCCCGGGATAACGTAGAGGGCGGCTGGGCATGTCCATCCATCCACGTCGAGGTACGTGCGGACGAACGTTTTGATTGCCGGGGCGCGGGGAAGGTTCCGTGCTACCTTCAACTCCCGCGGCGAGTGGAGCCTGATTCCTTTCAGACCGAGGCCTCGTGCCGCCTCCTCGCTAATTGCTCCGTAACAGTCACAACCGCTGTCGATTTGCACGTCGAAGGTTTTCAGGGAATGGACTAATATCGGCACTAAGAATGGTAGTTCGTTCATTTGCGCTTCTATCTTCCGAAATTCCTCCGCCCCTTGGGGACCCTGTACTTCGACTGATTGCGGGTGTGACCCTGGTCGCCTTGGCCGGAGACTTAGGCCAAGGTCTCCTCGTTTTTTGTGTCTTCGCGGTCCGACTCCGGGTCGGAGTATCCCTCATCCACGGTCAGTGTCCGTACTGCCGTCGAGGGGCGTATCGCGGGGGCGAGGTTGCAGTCCTGAGCGAAGTGTCCTTTGGCTCCGCAACGTAGGCAAGCCCCTTGCTTCCTTCTTTCGTCGAGGATCTCCTTCGAGACCCAGTTAGCCCTCCGTTTGGGCTGCCCGTTTCCGCTCCGTGGTTGGGAGCGGCCCTGGCTTTTCTTACTGGTGCCGTGTTGAGTTAACGCGTTAACTCCTGTCATCCGAGTATCACCCTCGTTGTCTACGAAGCGAGTCCGCCTCGGGGTCGGCGCATGGCTTGGGTGATAGCGAAACCGTTCTTCCATTCGATACGTTTCGATATCCGTCGCGATCGATCGGTATTGGTTGACCGCCAATTCGTAGTTATCCCTGGAGACCCCGGCTCCTACGCTCTTTTCGCGGATCTCCGAGGAGAGGGCTCTTCGGAGACGGGATAGGCGTATTCCGGCCGACCATTCGTGCCCCCCCGCTAGGGCCATTTTTTGCTCGAAGCGCACGAAGAATGTTGCGAAGGACTCGTTCTTTCCTTGCCGAAGATTGTCGAGTTCCGCTTCAGCAACCTGCTGTCGGTGGGGGTTCCCGAAGACGGTCTCGAGATACGATAGGAATACGTCCGTGTTATAGCCTGTCCCCTCCCCTGCTGCTTCGTAGTAGGCCGCGACTTGCGCCTGGACCTTAGGGGAGAGATTCTGCCATAGGTACACCCATTGGTCCTCTGCGGACCCGATGAAGTGCTGGTCGGCTGTAAGCTTATGTCGGATAGTAATCTTCCAGGCCGCGAAGGTTTGCTTGTCGCCATTATAAGGCTCTCCTTTCGGGAGCGGTTTCCGTAGGGTGAGCGGCGGTGTCGGATTAGGGTATGGGCGAGTCGAGTTGGCGGGATATTCGCGTGCCGGGCTTATCGAGGGCGGGGAACGCCCTGCACCGTCCGTATTTGCGTCGCCGGGTGCGCTTGAAGGGAGCGGTGTCTGCGCTGCCCGCAGTTGTTCGATTTCGACGCGCATTCGGCTGAGTCGGTCTTCGAACGTATCGATGCCTGATTGGTGATTGGATGGGGAGCCGCTAGGGAGGGTTGCTTCGTACGTGGCGCGGAGGTCGCGCATCTCGATCTGCATAGCGTCGAGCCGTGCTCTTAGCTCATCGACCTCGGCCATATCCGAGGACGAGGAAGTTCGTAGTATGTTAAGTACTGGCCCTAGGTCTGAACAGATACTAGGCGTATTAGATTTACTACGAACTTGGGAAATAAAAGGAGGTAGTTCGCACTCTCCGTGAGCGCGTTACGGTTTTGTTAACCCCCCCTGTCTCCCCTTTTTTGACCCACCTAGGCTCGGGCCAGAGCCCGAGCCCGTAACATCACCTTCCAGTAACTCGTACGACAATATATAAGACAATTAACCACAACGCCTTAAATCAATTCAAACTATTCAGAATCCTCTTCTTCAGAGGCAGATACAACTTTCTGACACGTACGAGCATTATGACCGGGCTCGCCGCAGACGCCACTGTCACGATCCTGCCTCCGGGGTCAACCGTCTGGCAGGGCGCTGGGGTTGCTGTTCCGCAGATAGGTAAAGCCTGTGCAATAACAACTAACACTCTGCTGTCGTTCTCTCTCTGGGTTGTCGTTCGTGTCTCTTGGAAGAGATACCAGTCTCGGCAATTGAGTGACTAGTTCAAGTGTGGGTGAAACTGATACTTAGATTGATCGCTGAAGTACAAAGGTAATGACTGTGTATCTAGAAGATCCTCCGCATCTATATATCCTTTGTCCTTCATCGTGGTCATGACTCTGGCCCCGATGGTCGTGGCCAGGTCACGGATCTGATCCTGATGGTCATGCATATTTTGATGACCATCCTTCTTGGCGTGGTGTCGGTCATGCAGATATGCATGACCGGTACGTACCTTCCTTATCGTCCTTTATCGTGCTTACATAAGGAACCTGTGACGGCACCGCCACATGATCCGCCCTTGTCCTTGGCCTGATCTTGTGGCCTAGTTGTTTGGGCTCTTCTGCGCCCGTAACAACATCCCCTGTTGGTTGGCCGTCACAGCCACATCGTCGCGCGCGCGTTTCGGGCCTCCTCGTACGACCACTATTCTGACTCGTTTCCGCTATTAACTGCTGCGTCGCATCGATTTGAGCCTTCAAATCCTTTGCCTGATCAATCGTGAGGGACCCTCCTTTCTGTAGCTGCTTTCTTTTCGTACGACGACGGCGGCTGAGGCGGTCATTTGCATCTCGAAGTTCGGCGAGCTCTTGGCGCATAAGGTCCTGCTCGTGTACCATCATTATAACTCCTTTTCTCAGCTGCCGTAGGCTCTCAACAATGGACGACGGTGAGCTATTCTGGTGTCGTACGATGCGATTTTCAATATACTTCGTCTGCGATTCGGTCTCAATTAGGTTGTTCGGCGTCTTTGAAACCCATGGGGGTGGTAGTCCAGCAGAGGAACCTGGTGGTGTCGGCGTATGAAACTTCATATCTAGCTGCGAAATCACATAATTCGGGTCGTACGGTACTAGGCCTGTCGCTCTGAAGCCTGCCTGGATGTTTGATTTGGTCATTGCAGCGTCGTACGCCTTATAAAAGGCTGGGAGGAAGTCCTCCTTTGAAACGTGGGTTACGTGCGCCCGCATTAGACCTTCGATTTCTTTACCGTACGCCCGTTTCAGAGGTCCAAAACACCCAACATCGAGAGGCTGGAGCTTATGCGACGAATGAGCAGGCATACAGAGCGTGACAATATTCTGTTCCTTGCAGTAGAGCTCGAAATCGACGGAATGGTGGCTCTCGTGGCCGTCGAGGATAAGGAGGCGGTGGGTACCCTTCGTACGACTCTTCGTATGGAAATCGAAGTGTTTTACCCATTCTAGACCTCTCTCGTTCGTCGTCCAGCCGTTATCTGAAAGCACGATTACCCAGTCGGCCGGTAGAGGGCTATTCGCGGTCCAGGAGTCGAGGTGGACGTTCCCTGCGAATATGATGTATGGTGGGATCGAATAGCCGTACGATGCGATGCCCTGGATTGCTGTAACCCATTCCTGATTGCCTTGTTGTACGGCTCTTGGCCTCCCGCGTCGATCGGAGGTCGTAACGACAGTTTCGGCAGAGATCTTGCCCATCGCGAAGCCCGTTTCGTCGAAGTTGTAGATGTCGTCATCGTAGATCCCGTATTTCGCGATTATGTTTCGTACGAGTAGAAACCACGCGCGATACGCGTCCGGATCCTCGCAGAGGACTCTCTGGTAGTCGATTCTTCGATTAAAACGCGTAACGGAGCTCAGGTCGTCGTCGTACGAGGTTTGCAGCCCAGTTTGTTCCGACGCGTCGCGCGTCGCGTTCACGAAGGAGTTCATCCGCCATTTCTCGAACACCACTTAGCCGCGGTGGAAACGATCGCGAATCTAGGTCGATTATGTATCGTACGACGCTGTCCTCTTCGTACGAGGTTAAATTCTGGTTATGTGGTCGGGTATCGCGTTTGGCAGGTCGGCCGGCTCGTCGTCGCTGGAGGGTTGCACGGGATACATTGTATAGTAATGCAGCTTGTCGTACGCTTAATTCTGGGTCTGATTGAAGCGCATTAAGCGCCAGAATCAAATCACTTTCAATTGATTGCCGTCCCATAATTATTGGTGGAGAAAAAGGGGAAAGAAGATGGCCTGTACGGAAATGACGGAAAGTGGCTCACTCGCTTGTGTGGCTCACTTGCTTGTGGATTACGTTATGCGATAAGGAATTGCACGACTCGCAACAGAGTCTGCCGTCAAAGCCGACCTCCCCAAATTTCCTTTCTGCTCTCGGAACTGAGTTCTTGGCAGATAGACCTGAAGGAAGACTAACCCGCCTTGAGCTGTGGCTGGGGCATCCTGAGCTCGCATCGACGAAGCAAGACATGGAGCGGGAAACTACAAAGACGACTCGTGACGCCACCTGTATGGAAACTTGGGGTCCATGACTGCGCCACTTGTGCCCCTGTGCGGGCTTTGTAACGCCCGATAAGTGCACCAAGCCCCAAGGCTTGACCCACTCGGGCCCGAGTAACCCCCGATTCGTGTACCCGACTCTTGGCTGGGCAACTACCGGCAATAATATTCAAACTCCACGTAGATTACCTTTTAATAAGCCTGTATATAAAAGAAATGAAAGAATATCTTCTACACTGGAACTTACACCAGAATCTTCGGCTGATCTTTTATTATATTGCAGCTCACCTAACCCATTGGCTGTGTTGCTGACGGTTTACCCGCAACCTCCTTCCACCTCGCGCCAATGACTACAATGATCGTGCTCATTACTGGTTGCAGTGAAGGTGGCGCTGGCGCGGCCTTGGCGAAAGAATTTCATTCTCGCGGCCATCGGGTCTTCGCCACGGCTCGCAATGTCTTGGGATTAGCTTCGCTGGAGGCCCTGGGAATCGAAACCCTGCCGCTGGACGTCACCGATCAGATATCTCGAGACACGGCCGCGGCGACTATTTCAAAATTAACGGGAGGAATCCTCCATATCCTCATCAACAATGCGGCCGTGTACAGCCTCATGCCTCTCGCCGACACGAACCTGGAGGATGCGCGTCAAGTCTTTGAGGCCAACGTCTTCGGGGTGCTGGCCGTGACGCAGGCGTTCCTCCCTTTGCTCATCAACGCGGCTGGCACTGGGCTCGTGGCAAATGTGAGCAGCATATCTGCCGGGCTGTGCCCACCCTGGCAAGGCATCTACTCAGCCAGCAAAGCCGCCCTTACGGCGATGGGGCATACGATGCGGCTAGAATTCGCGCCACTAGGAGTGCGTGTCACCACAATCATATCTGGTGGAGTGGACACACCGCTCAAGCGACAGGCCGCATTCGTCCCGGCAGGAAGCTACTACAGCTCCTTAGCAAATTCTATTGAATTGAACGAGACGTCCAGCGATTACACCCCCATGAGCCCAACAGAATATGCCAAGCTGGTAGCAAACGACTTATTGAAGCCTCATCCTAGACCGTTGCTCTGGAGAGGCGCTTTCGCGTCTGTGGCCTGGGGGCTGAGCTGGCTCGGCTGGGTAGGTATGATGGACAACGGGCAAAGGACACGAAGCGGCCTATCGACTATCATACGGTGATTGTTCGTAGGACTCATACATTGGGGGATTGTGCGTTTCTGAAGGGAAATTCGCCAACTTGAAATGCGAGATAGAGCTGGTCTGTATTGACGGCGGACTCGCTTGTGTGCACCACTCGCTTGTGGACTACGTTAGGGCAAATATAGTAGATGAGGAGTCGTTTTTCAACGGGTGCTGTACCCGATTTTAACACAGCCTACTGCACGGAGTGCCATTCAGCAGCACCGTCATCCACGTGTCGGAATACGGTTGGCCCTAGGTCTAATCTTCGCCATTGATAAAGGCGCAGCAGACCTAGAGTCTCCCAGACAAATTCTGGCAGTGTTATCCCTTAGAGGAGTCATAAGAAGCCCAGCTGTGCGTACCTTTGGCTGATACAGGTATCTTCCTCAAGTCCTAAAGAGCGTCCCCTTTCGGCGGTTTTATGAGACACACTACTGGAGCTCCAATACCAAGCTCTCAAGATTCTCAATAACTATAAAATGACAGTATCCGATTCCCTAATCTACAGTCTAACATTAGGAAGTTATTAGCAGCCCTGTGGCTGCTATGGAAAGGTGATTCATGCTACGTCGCCACGCCCATCAGTACCTTCAAATCAACGGAACAATTAGATCCGGCTAGCGTCGGAGCGCTGGCATGGGGAATTTATTCTCCGGAAGCCGAGGCTTGCCAAGGCGTACAGCTCCTTGCACCATGATTAGTTCACGTGCTTAAAACTGATATGAGAGAATTTGAAGACAGACGGAAACTCTTACGCTGATAATGGGCGGCGGCTATTGTGAGAACTGCTAGGTCTACCTGAGATGCTTTGGACCCTGGCCTAACCAAGTTGGGTTGGCGCCCAATCACACACCCTAATAACCCCCAATAAGACATGAGGGTGTGGCTTTTCGTTGTGGCTTGAAGTGGCGCAAGAAATATGGTGAAGTTGGAGGCGAGAGCCGTGGTGAAGACGGCAACGCACGGATCGTATAGTGGCCCGAGCTCAGATTTTCTATGGGGAGCGAAGGCACGGAAGTAAGAGCCTTTCGTTCCTCAAGGCATTAGAAATGTAACAAGGCATTAGAAATGTAACGAGGGGTTGATCCTGTCTAGTCTTGACTTGATTTCTACAAAAAGTATTCTGGAAGTCGCAGGGTAGTACCATCGGACCAGGGGCCGGTTAATATTTCTTGGACTCGACGTAGACTAAGATGAAGTTTGAACATGACCAGAGACCAGAGCAGGTCGAACAATCGTCAAGCCATGTCTGCAATCTCATCTGCAATCTTCTATGAGCAGTGTAGCTCCCATTCTTGTGCAGGGCCAAGCCTCTGATCGTGACTACCTGCGCAGCTTCCGTGGCCAGTATGCATGTCGAGCGGCTGATGCCGATTTGTTCATAGACTGTCAGCTTTTGGGGATCCGCAGCCTTTCCTTTCTGGTCGAAACCCATTTCCTCAGTTTTCATAGCAGCATTTCTCTTTGGATCCAGCTGCTGATGGGAACAAGAGGAAGCCGCCAGCCGCAGCGCCAGAGATGGTGTAGAGGCCCGGGTAAGTGCCCAAGCCGGCCTGCACGAGGACGGTGCTGGCACAGGCTCCGGCGAGGGCCATGCCCAGTCCCTGCATCAGTCCGCCGATGATGTTGCCGGCATATTTGCCGCTGCTACCAAGAACTCCGGAAATCGGCGAAGGGCTGCGAGGGGAGGATTTGGGCAGACCTCTGCCGGAGAAGAGGCCAAAGATGAGTCTGTGGATGGTGAAGACCACCGGGGCCGTTCTATTTTCCTGTCGTTGGAGGCTTGATTTAGTTGCTGCCACCCGTTGCCCGGCCGATGGAGAGGCTGCGAACGAGCACCCCCAGAAACATGCCATATTGATGGTGCAAAATTGACGAAGGCGCAGGAATAACACCGCTGCAGATACTTTGGCTCTTGATGGACAGATGGATGCGTCCGTTGGCAGAATCCTTACCCGTTGAGTGGGTGAGGACCCCATGGTGGAAGGTCGGTCAGAATAGTGATCTTGCAGTCGCACCTGGTCGGATACGTTGAGTTCATGTGCCGATCAGCCCCCTGTCCCCCGGAAGAAGCCGAGACAGTGCTCCCTTCCGCTTACCCAGCCATGTTGCAGTGCGGAGTTGAAGTGGACACTCGGCGTATCCACAAACCCCGCATGGTTCAACCTTGGTGTCACGAACAGGCCACTGATGTTCCATAATTGCCAGCGTATGGGGTCGACCACCTGACTCGACATTGGAGGTCCTATTCTGACAAACAGGTTCTACAATTTCCAATCGCAATGTGGCGCTTCCCAAATGGTCTTAGTGTATCGCAGTCGTGGCTCAGTGGAGGCTCAGTCCGAACTCCTCTCAGCCCCTGTTTTCCAAGCTTTATGCAGGCTCTTATGCACAATCCACACTCCAGGCTCGAGGGCTAACGGTTTATCAAACGGTGACATCTTCCATCATAGATGCTTCGAGGTCGTGCAGAACAGCAAGGATGACCACCAAATTGCTGTTGATCGCACTGCGCGTGCGACGGTAGTCACTGTCCCGGTTGCGGATGTGCACACGGCCGACGGAGTGAGGGTTATGGTGCAGGTTGAGTCGGATATCTGACAGTGTTGATTACTGCTTGTTGTTTTCTGGTTGTCGTCCGAAAAGTTTTATCAATGCTTGGCTTATAGTAATCCTACACTACGGGGCCATTTCTTTTCCGCCGTCGGTGATGCACGTTTCGACGACCTGAGTTCCGACTCCTGGCCCCTATATGACATTGGACAACCAAGGTCCGATTGCGGGGAGCCAGCAGTGAGATCCGATGATTGCCATAATCGTACGAAGGCCCTGATCTCAGCTCTTCCGACGACAAATGAAGCTATTCATTTGTGTCACTCCCACGCATTCTATCTGGATTTGTTGCGCTCGAAAAATCTAGACATGTCAAATTCACCATTAAATAGCCCTGCTTTGTTGCCGTTCTAGCTCCAACAGAAAATTAGCCAAGCCCACGTGCTCACAACCGCAACAGCTGAATGGCCAGCCCTGAGTTGAGCCTACCTGGGAGCCTCGAGCCAAACTCCCCCATAACTTCGAGTTGGCAGCACGCGGCTGTTGCGCCTGTCATTCTGCATTCTTTGTTTCGTCCATCCACGGCACACAAGAGAGGGCACGCGACACGTCACTGTCACAATGGCCATCCAACGTCGCTTCGGCTGGCATCCTGCAGAGGTGCAGGACCGCCTCTGGAACACGCTCCGCGAGAACTGGTACCTTGGCTTCACCTCCTTCGGCGGGCCGCCGACACATTTCAAGATTGTCAGTTCGTCGTGCAGCTCTTTCCCGTGTCGCCTGGGCTCTTCTAACAGGAGCACATTCGCAGTTCCGTGACAAGTTCACCACCAAGTTGAAATAGGTTGACGAGCAGATGGTAAGCCTGCACCAGCGACACTTCAAGCGATAATGTTCATTGACTGACTTCTCTGTGTCGAACAGTACCAGGAGCTCTTCAGTGTCTGCCAGGCCTTCTCCGGGCCCGGTAGCACGAAGATGCACTACTGCATCAACCTGCTCCACGACGGTACCCTGTCTGCTCTGTTCGGCTTCCTGCTGTGGAGGTAGGTGCACTATATCACTTGCACACGATCCTTTGCAATGACTAGCGCTCACTCGGTCCTGATCTTCCCAGTCTTCCCGGCGCCCTGGGCATGTTCGGCCTGTCCATCGGCGTCTCCAACATCGGCGAGACACTGCCGCGTCCAGCCTACGCCGTGCTATCCGGCCTCAACGCCGCGACAGTCGGCATCGTGGCTCTCGCCGCCGTGCAGCTCTCCGAGAAGGCCATCACCGACAAGCTCACCCGCATCATCGTCTTCCTGGGCGCATCTGCCGGGATGCTGTACAACGCACTCTGGTACTTCCCCCTGTTGATGCTCCTGGCCGGCATCACGAGTGTGGTGTTCGACTTCCGCTGGCTGCATGGCCCGGTCAAGGCTGTAGTGGGCGTGTTTAAGCCCAAGGAGAAGCGCAGACAGACGCCACCCGAGGAAGAGGCTGTCGACATGTCTCATCAGCAAGAAGCCGCGTCTCAAACGGCGTCAGTGGATCCCATCCCAAGCAGACCAACCTCCAGAGCCAAGACAGGCGACACAAACGACGCAAAGGCAGCCAGCCGCGGCACACTCCCGCAAAACGCCGCCAGCACAGCAGGCCAGCTACCCCCTTCACCCCTTACCCAAGCGGAAGAGCAGGACGACGAACTCCGCGTCGTCCCGCAGGACCGACAGTTCAACATGTCCTGGAAGACCGGCGTCGCCATCATCGCCGCATTCCTCGCCTCCTTCGCGGCCGTCATGATCCTGCGCGGCACCCTCCCTGCCAAGTCCCTGCTCTTCAGCCTCTTCGCAAACATGTACCTCGCCGGCACCATCATCTTCGGCGGCGGGCCCGTCGTGATCCCGCTGCTGCGCGAGTACACCGTGACCGAAGGGTGGCTCAGCACGCGCGACTTCCTGCTCGGCCTGGCCATCACGCAGGCCTTTCCCGGGCCCAACTTTAATTTCGCTGTGTACCTCGGCAGCCTGACGGCGATCAACGCCGGGTACCCCGCTGCCGCGGGCGCGGTGCTGGGCTTCGTGGGGATGTTCGCGCCCGGGCTGATCACGGTGCACGGGACGATGGGCGTGTGGCATGCGATTCGGGGGTGGCGGTGGGTGAAGAGCTCGCTGCGCGGGATCAACGCTGCTGCTGTGGGACTGATCTATACGGCGGTGTACCGGCTCTGGCAGACGGGGTATATCGACGAGAGCTACCAGCAGGGCACGAACTTGGGGCTCGACCCGTGGTGGGTTGTCGTCATGGCTGGCAGTTATTTCGGTGGGTATTGGTTCGGGGTCAGCCCGCCGGTTGCGATCCTCGCGGGTGCAGTGATGGGATTGGTTTGGTATGGAGTTGTGTCTACATAGCTTTTCCAAATATGTCCGTTGTGAAGTGATGAAGCCATCATCTCTCATTGAGGTTCGGGGTCCCCGGTATCTGAGACTCGAAGTCTGTTGGCGACAGCGAGGCATTCGTGAACCAGGAGTTTGTCTTGTATTGATGTAGATATAGTGTTGCAAACAGCAGTAGTTGCCCGGTCCAGACCGTCTATCTGGTTCTTGGCGGGAGTTTCACAACCTCTAGCTAGTTCAATATCGACCAGTTCAGCGTCCACTGCGCAGCAAACCTTCCGCAGTGATGGCCGCACTGGTAGCAGTCACGAATCGTCCTATCTCAGCAGCCCAATAGGCTCAAAACTCGTGTGAAAGGCATAAGGTGACGCGCGCGCACGCACTGGTGATTCTAGAGGTTCTCTTCCAACGCTTCTGACCCGCCTACGTCGGCACAGCCAGCAGGTTGACCTTCTCCATGACCGGAAAACCGTCAGGCAGGACCTCGGGGGCGATGACCAGGTACCGCGAATTGGGGTTCGCAGCAGTGGCGCTGCCTCCGGGGCTTGGTGTGTAGAACGTGAAGATCGGGCCCTCTTCATCGCAGATGGCCCTGGACGGGGAGCTCGGGACGTTCTGGGTCATCCTGCACGACGGAGCGCTGCACGACATCGGGATCCCCGCCGCCGCCGACGACGACGACGGATCCGGCCGCGGGGCCGAGCACGTGATCAGCCGCACGTTGACGTGGGCATTCAGCGGGGTCTGCGGGGAGCAGGTCATGACCTTGGGCGGCGCGGTGGCAGCGTACGCGGGTACCGGGTACGCGGCGCACAGGGCGAAGGCGCCGTTGAACACCAGGAGCCGGCCGGACGCGGGGTCCCACGTCGCCGGCGCCACGAAGAGGTTGCCCCCCCACGAAGCCGAAGGTGCCCTGTATGCCCGGTGAGCTCCGGGCTTGCAGGGGCACGCCGGCGGCCGGGCCGCGGTCGACTGTGTTGGTGAAGCCGGTGGGCACCGGGGCGAGCGAGGAGGACGTCGAGCTGGTTGGCTCGCTGCTGCTGGTCGGTTCAGAACGGGCCGATGTGATCGATGATGCGTCGCTGCTGCTTGTGGATGCTGTGTTTGATGTCTCTGTGGGGCTGGTGGTGCTTGTCGTGTCCGTGCTCGAGGTGCTCGAGGTGCTCGTTCTGTTCCGCTCGGACCATGACAGTCACTGGACAATGGCGAGGGCCCCTGGGGTGGGGTGCTAAAGTCGCATTTCCCTCGTACCCTAGTTCTCCGCAACAGTGCTACTCCTGCCAGCATTCACGTCATAATCTCGGAACTAAAGCGCATGCTTCATCAACTACCTTTGGAGGCATGAGAATGCAGCATTCGAACACAGTACATCGAGGCGTTCAGCGGAGGCATCCGAGTTCTACATTGAAGTCTACGTCCAATAACAAGTTGACATTGAGAAGAACTACAGAGTATTCGGAGCTTGTGTGTTCGTCCAGTCCAGTCATCTCATAGTCGGAGACACTGTTTGACTTCAAGTGCAACAACGTCAGCCGATTTAGAGGCATCGATCTGTAAATGTTAGTATAGATCAGATGTATGGGAAGTGAGAATGTACCTTGTGAAATGGCTTTTCGCGGAGGCGCTTGATTATGTCCGAAGTGTCTCTGTTGTAATCTGCAGCCCGTCTCAGACGGATCGTCTCGTCCTCGTCATCCACCCGACCGGACGACTTTGCACGCGCGCCTAGCCTGCGTGCTAGAAGTTCTGGCGAGCAATAAAGGTAGACAGTTTCATAGTCGGTAGAAATCTAGAGGTCAAGATGCAGTGTTAGATGCAGCGTTAGATGAGCACCCCACGACAAGGAGTTAGCTTACCTCGTTCTCGAATGTCTGGAGCTGCTTGGTGCTTCGGGGGAATCCATCAAGGATGACAGTGGTCTTTCCTTCGCGAGCACTTCTTTCCAGTCTTTTCCGGAAGATCTTCATCGCGAATGTTGCAGGCACAGCGACGCCCCTCGAAAAGCTCTCGGAGATGAAATCGCGAAAAGAACTTCATCTGTTTCCACTCCCCCCAGCATTCGACGACACAATGGATGACGATGACACCTGGTGGCTAAGCGGGGTTGATGGGAATCCACCATGGCCACTAGCTGCACACGATCTCGGCACTACATCGAGTCAAAACTTGACCGAACCACCACCACGCCATCTTATTGCCCCCAGTTTCCACTCTCAAGCCTATTCACTTGACGCGGTCGAGGCGGGTTCTTTCAGACCCGTGTCAGTCACGTCACCGAGCACGACGCCAGCTCTACTTCAACCCAATTGGTTGGTAGGGCTTGATCAAGCCGCAGATTTCCGTCATCCTGTAGTCGGTACCTCTGAAGATCGTCCAACATATTCACACCATCGTGCACGTCCCGAACTCGTACAACTCGCCGAATCTCCATGCTGGACTGCTCTGCCACCTGCGATCCAGCATGCGACTCCAACGCGAGGAACGATCACCTATTGCCGGGCGGAACAAGCAATGGCTACTCAAGTCAATTCATGGAATCTAGCCTCGTTCTCAAATGGCCTGGCTTAGTAACATGAGCTTGGTACGGGTCTGACTCACATTCAGCGCGGTCTGATTGCAATCGAGTCAGATATTGGAACAAGCCAGCTTGTGCCACATGAAAACCTCTCCAGGCGGCCGAATCCGCTCGTGAGGCGCACACTCGAGCTCCTCTTCAGCGCATTGACGGAAAACGAGTCGCCCTCATCCAAGGCCCGCATTTGCTTGATTCAAGTCATGAATCGTCGGGTCAATTGCGAACAACACATTGGCCGTGATATAGGCTGTATGATAGAGCCACTCTACGAGCAAACAATTTTCAACAAGTGTAAGACCATCTGGTTGAAAACTGTATTTGCATCCATGACGCTGATTCGATATCGCCTCAGGGACAAATGAACAGTATGCATCACAGCTTGCACTGCAGAGGCACACGTTTGCATGGGTCAACACCCCTTTTGTTGTTCGACTTCAACACTTTCCGGACGGGCCAGTTTAAGAAGCAGGATGTCACTGTTATGCACCATCAACAGCCAGTGAGACTACTCTATGGACGAAGACCATATATGGATGGCAAGGTCAAGTCACCGACGCGTATGCCTGTTCCGATAATCCAACAGTGATAAAAGACCGGATGACAGTGTATCTTGCTGAGAGTGCGAAGCACGCGTCTTTGTATCCGTGGTTTCGCAACAACCTGCACGTCTCCACTGATGACGGCGACTACATCCTTTGCAACCTAGCTCTTCAGCTCTGGTCGTGTTCGCGGCTCTTGGTTCTTCTCAAGAGAGGGCCTTGAGGGAAGCTCTCCCTCTGCACCGCATTGTAATCCAGGAACTGCGCAAACGTGCGCTGCTCGACGTCTTGGTCCTTCCAGTCCGCTCCAGACTGCTTCTTCTTCTGGCGCCGGAAGTAAACGCGCTTCGCCCACTTCCACGCCTCGACACCCGCGAAGAACAGCGCCGAGTTGACAAACACGATGGCCCACTCCCACGAGATGTCGGTGTGCTTGAAGACGACCCTGTTCAGGCCTGGGATGTACAGCACGGGGAACATTGTGACGAACCCAATAATAATGGCCCAGAAGAGGAACTTGTTGCGCCAGATGTCGTGCATCCACTGGGTGAGGTAGCGCTTCGAGCCGGGCTGCATCCGGAAGAATGACCGCCGCCGGTCAATCATCTCCCAGGCCAGGAACAGCGCGAACCAGGTCAGGCAGGCGAACGTGGTAGCGCGTGCGCGGAACACCTGGTCGCAGGACTCGCTGTAGTGGTCGTTACACAGCTCGCCGAGGTCGCCGTTGCCGAAGCCGAAGACGACCAGGGTGAAGCTTGCCAGGCACAGCGCTGTGATCCAGAGGCCGTAGAAGACCATATCGACCAGGAATTCCATATCGAAGATGCCAGACTTGAGATCCTGTGGGGGCCGGGACATGATGTCGGGCACGGCTCGCTCGAAACCGAGGCCCATGTCGGGCATACCCGATGTGATCATGATGATCCAGATAATCTCGACAGGGGCGAGAGGAAACACGGACAGCCCGCGGGAGTCCTTGAAAGCGAGGCCAACGAGCAGGGTGCCGGCTTGCGCGATGTTCTCGGCGAGGACGTGTAGGATAAACTTCTGGATGTTGTCGAAGATGCGGCGGCCTTCCTCAATAGCAGCGACAATGCTGGCGAAGTTGTCATCAGCCAAAACGACGTCGGAAGCCTCCTTGGCAACGTCGCTGCCGGCTTGACCCATTGCGATGCCGACATCGGCGCGGCGAAGTGAAGGCGAATCGTTGACGCCGTCGCCGGTCTGTGACTCAACGTTAGCCATCGATAAAATCATGAAAGACGCAAAAGCGAAAACTGCACTTACCATGGCACAGAACTTCTTCCGTCGGTGCAGGGCCTCGATCATGCGGACCTTAGTCTGGGGTGCGCAACGAGCAATGACAAGTGGAAGCACAGGGAGTTCGTCAACTTGCTGGTCAGTCAGGGCATCGAACTGAGTAGCGGTCATGACCATGGCATAGGCGATATCCGCGCGTACCAGGTCCATTCTCGAAGGCAGAATGCCGACCTCGATAGCGATGGCCTTAGCGGTCTCGGGATGATCACCTGTAAGCATGTGGACGGCGATCCCAGCCTTGTGGCAGCCGCGTACGGCCGAGGCAGACTCGGCGCGAGGGGGGTCGTACAAGCCGATGAGACCGCGGAAGGTGAGGCCGGATTCGACAGTCCCGCGATCGACATCCTGGCCCTTCTCGATGTTGCCGTCGAATTTCTTGCTAGCAAGAGCCAGCACACGCAGACCCATGCCGGCAAGAGCTTCCATGTTGCGCAGGATCTCCTCCTGGAACTCCTGGGTGATTGGGCTGGTCTCTTCGCTGTTGTCATCGGCACAGTAGTCCTTGCAGTTTCCAATGACGCGTTCGACAGCGCCCTTGGTAAAGACCATGAGCTTGCCAGTAGACTCTTGTTTGAAGACGACCGACATGCGCTTCACGTCCGAGTCAAAGGGTAACTCGGCGAGCTGAGACCACTCTGGCTTGTTGCCGTGCGCCAGCTTGAGTCTGTTGGAGCCGAAGCGAGTGCCGAAGACAGCAATGGCAATCTCGGTGGGGTCGCCACGAGCATTCCACTCGTTCTCGTTATCACCGCTCGGAGAGACCGTGGCGAGATTGGCAAGAGCGGTGACCAGGAGGTACTCTGACAGAGCGCGCTTGCTCTTCTCGAGAAGTGACTCGGGGTGTTCGGGCGTCTCTTTGCTTGTGCCGTTTGTCCTCTTGAGTTCCATCTGCGACGGCACGCGTGTGTCAAAGAACATATCGCCCACAGTAGGGTTGAAGGGGTCGCCGGAGCTGTCAATGGTATAGGTGCCCATGGCAGGAATCCATGCTCGCTTCGCAACCATTTTGCCCTGAGTCAGAGTGCCGGTCTTGTCGGAGCAGATGTCTGTGACCGCACCTAATGCCTCGAGAGACTTGAGGTTACGGACAATGACATTGCGCTGCACCATTCTCTTGGTGCCGGCAGCCATGGTGATCGTCAACACCACGACGAGTGAGGCTGGAATCATAGACAACCCAGTTGCAACGGCATAGATAATGACCTCTTGCTCAGGAACAAATTTGTTGGCTCCTAGACAGATGATGGCACAGAGGACAGCGATGCCGAAGAGGAGGACCGCAAGTTTGGAGAGCTTCTGCTGCAGAGGCGTGCCAACATTGACACCCAGAAACCGGCCGATGGCGTCTGTCAAGGTTAAGGTGTAGGCTTCGAGGTAGCGATGCGGTTTGGCAGTGCCATCCGGCTTACGCTTCACCTCTCTGACCTTGGAGTCCTTGGCTCGTAAGGCCGAAGCAATGGCGCCGATCTCGGTGAAGGGTCCTGTGGCAAAGACAATGGCCCTGGCGCGACCCTTGGTGACAGTGGACGAGCTGTACGCCACATTGATACGATCGCCGCTGAGGCAGGCATTAGTTTTGTGCAATGGGACAGTGTGAGAAATGATAGGTACTCCCGTTGGCAAGGTTTGGGAGCGTGGGGGCTCCGGAGGGGTTGTTAACTTACGGGCCGGTAGCATCGTCGAAAGTCTGTCTCTCGTCTTTCCGGATGGGGAGCGACTCTCCCGTCAACAGAGCCTCGTCAGTCTCGAAGCTGACTGCCTCGATGATACTGGTCGAAAATTTGTGAGCAAATGATCATGTGGATTGGATTTCGGTTAGGCGTACCGGACATCAGCAGGAATAGTGTCACCAGTCTTGAGCTCGATGAGGTCACCGGGCACGATCTCCCCAGAAGGGATGACGCTGGACTTGCCATCGCGGACAACGCTTGCCGTGGGCGAGCTCAGTGACCGAAGAGAATCCATGGTCTTCTCGGCGGAGTACTCCTGAAAGAAACCAACGATGACGTTGAGGAGAATGACGAAGGTGATGACAGCGCCCTCGATGTATGACTTGATGCCGTAACTGACAGCCATGGCCATGATGAGCACCTTTCACCAGCTATTGTCAGTATGCTGGATAACAAAAGGGTGTATCGCGGCATGGAATTCCAGAAGACTCACCAGCGTCATAGCATTAGCAATCTGGGCGATGATGATCTTGACGGGGGACACGCCATCGGCCTCGCCGAGGTCGTTGGGGCCGAATTCATCGAGTCTTTGCTTGGCCACTGCGGTATGGAGACCATTGATTTCGTCCGACTCGAGCTCCTTGACAACGTCGTTAAAGGTCAACGAGTGTGGCGGTCGAGACAGCGGCTTGTTGGATTGCCCAGAGAGGTGGCCCGCCAGCGGGTCATCGCCCTTCTTCTTCATGCTCGTGAAACCAAAGTCTGTAGCTTTTGCCTATTGTATTGTACTCAGGCTGGAGTCGAAATGCTGTGTAAGCTGCAAAGGTCAGGCAGTTGGCAACGCTTCTGTGGACTCGTTGAGTGGAGGAGATCGAGGTTCGAGATTCCTGAATGGTCTATGATCCCAAGATACGACTTGATGTTTGAGGTGTGTGGCACTTAAGTAATGGGGAGAGTATCGGTTCACAAGGATGCCGGTCACCGATGGCCATGACGCCAAGCGGCAAAGGGTCGCGCCTGTACGCCCAATCATGGCGATTATCATTCAACGGCCTCGAGGAATGCCTGGGCAGAGTTTTCGCCATTGCGGCAGACGAGAGCATGTGTGGGCAGTGCGTGTTGTTGCGGCGACCAGTGGGAATGTCGAGGCCGGCCTACCAATGACAGTGGCCGTGGCCGGAAGCGCTCCCGTGAGGATTGTGGGGCAGCACCTCGGCGGAGGGCGTGGCGCCTTGGCGGCATGGAAGCACCCGGCGATGCGCACGCCGTCAATAATGGGGATCCGTCTTTCTGTCTGTGTGGATGGGATGCCTGATACGGACGATGTTGGTGTTGCGTCAGAAGCTTGCTGCTGTCGATGGCTCCAGAACAGTCCCCAGTCACCAGAGCTGATGGGACGGACGGGCTGGTGAAGCAGAGTGTCCAAACCCCTCAAGCTGGTGTGTTGAGAAATCTCCACAGGTCGTTTCTCGACTTCGGAGAGAGGAGGGGCCCAGGCAAGCTTGCAAATTAAGCTTATCTGCGTCCGATATTGTGCATGAGGCGCGGCGCCTTGCTTGTCTGAACTTGTCTGAGCTGGTGCGGCAGGTGCCCGCCTGGCCGAGCCTGCCAAGCCGGAGGCGCACCCACATCCATGTCTCTGGCCAATAGCAGTACTTGCAGCCGGAAGCGAGCCCGCGGTTGTCCGGCACCTCGACGGCGGAAGGAGCGACCCAGACAAGCACTTGCCACCTACGCTTACGGATACGGTCCTCCGTGCTGTCAGATTTCAGCTTCCATCCCACGCCGGAGCCGCACGGCCAACGTCACATACATAGTTCTGAGGCTCAACCTGGAGTGTCCCCGCCTCCCGTCATGGACCATGCCCCACAAGCTCCGGCCTCACCGCCGTTTGCTCAGCCCCGGCCGAGAGCCCCGAGGTCGCCGGCACAGTCCGCACAGGTCCGGGTCCGCAACCGCCGCCGCGAGTATCTCGACCGCAACCCGGCATACTTTGACTCGCTCGAGCACGAGCTCGCAGGTGTGCCAGCCCCTGTGCGTCACGCACACCTAGAAATCAACAAGTGCCGATAGCTGACGTGGGACGCAGATCCTCTGCTCTATCATGAATTGATCCGTCGCTTTCAGTCGCCAGAAGACCGCGAGAAGGAGGGCCGCAAGAAGGGCTACTCGTGTGTCCTCGAGGTCGACCTGCTCCGCGGCGAGGCCAAGCTCACCAGGGCACGCGCAGCGAACAACCACAGCAGACAGGCCGACGGACACGGACATGCAACCTCGACCAACGGCATCACGCAGCCACCACCACCACCTGGGACGAACGGGGTGGAAGACGAGGACGAGGAAGACACAGCGTTGGCGTGCAGGAGCACGTCGGCGGCGCTGTGGATCAGCCCGGAGTCGCAGAGATCGGGGACCGACTAGCACTTCCCGAAACACTAGAGGGGGGCCGCGAGAGGTGGAGAGACTTCCTCCGGCGCAGATTCGTGCTCGGGCGTGACGACGATTTCGACTATAGATCAGTGGACGAGAACGACGATCTGGATGCCCTGGAGAGGCGCGACACAGTGGAGGCGTGGTTCGACGACGAGGTGCCTGGGTGGGCGAGCGATCGACCTGAGCAAGACGACAGTGACGACCATACAATGCACGGAGCTGGCGCACAGAAGCTGGCAGGCGAAACCGGCATTCAAGATTTCTGAAACACACACTCGAGTGCAATTTTGACTATCCATCAGGAGCGATCATTGTCAGAGTCGGTGGAGATTGCAACTAGGCTGAAAAGGACTATCTATCAGTGCCAATGAGGGGTCGGCAAAGTTCCGTGTTGATCTGCCACAATTACACGCAGATTCGCTGGCAACGACTTCATCTATGCGACGCAGAGACATCGCCGTCGAGGCTAGCTCATGCAGCCATGATACTCTTCCCACCATCGGCCGTCAGCCTCTTACGATACGGATCTACAGGACCTCGTGGCCAAGGACCTTGAACTCCACTGGATGCGAACCCTCTCCAGTACCACCTCCTGCCTTGTCCAAGATGGCACTCGGGGCGAACAGCAACGCCTCGCCAACCTTGAGCTTCACATTATGGGAGAACAATTGCTGCTGGAGTGGCCGTGGAAGAGTGGAACCGGATCCCAGTCTGAACCGCACTGCCATTGTCAGGCTCGTTATGTGTCGAGGAAGTCGCATCACAGTCTCGTCCGTCCAGGCCAACCTTTGACATGGCGATCGCCACACCTGCAGCGGTTGATATACCCGCCAGATGACCACTCAGCATGCGGAGCCAGTCAGGAGAGGTGAAGCGGTGCACGATGGTAACGCTGCATAGATCGAGCAGCTTCGGAGAGATGGTTGGCTCCTGCGTGGAGATGATCACCCTGGCTCCTTGATGGCGCTGCAGGCGAATTGTCGACAGCAAAGATTGCGAAACAGACTGGTCGCTTCTGTGCTTCTGGGTTGGTGTTCTTGACGACGAGGGAGCTCTCTAGAGGCCGCCGCCTTGCGACTGGCCAGAGCCCAGTCACCCTCCACGAGGTTACGATGTTATGCTTTTTGAACCCCTCGTGACGAGCTCTTGCATAGCAAATTAGAAACCCCGTTTTACCGATTGGGTTGCTGTCGTTCTGGATGAAGAGACGTCGAGCCAGGCTCCGGTAGGCTGCCTTCAGTGGCGAGAAGATCGTGAGATCGAGGGGCTGTAGAACGTGCGAGGTATGCGGTGGGAGATACAATATGAAGATATTGTCCTTGAAGCACTCGTACATAAAGTCGTCGGTGACATGGCTCCCGTGCCCGTCGAGGACTAGCAGACGCTGCTGGCTGGCGGTGCTAGGCATCGTCGAAGGGATAAACACCTTCTTGAGCCAATGGAGGGCAAGCTCGTTCGACGTCCAACCGTTCGATTGGGCTGTGAACCATACCCGAACGCGAAGAGCCCTCTGTAACTTTATGGATACGAATAGAGCAATTGACACAAGTAGGTAGACTCGGGGCGGCTGGGTCACAGGCCTGGCTGGCAAGTGAAACCACAAGGCTGCGACACTACCCAGGGCGAAGGCTGTGTGAAGCGTGGAAAAGACTTCGAAGAGCCTTCTCTGGAGCACGGAGACGATGAAGGTTGCTCCAAGAAGACTTGCGGCCTAGGACTTTGTCAGAGAAGCCGTCCGAAAAGGGATAGGCACTTACAACAATCCCGCTCAGTGGCTCACGAATCTCAGGTCCTTGCATGATCTGAAGAACGATATGCGAGGTTGCCTCGACAACAAAAGTCAAGCCGATGCAAGTGTGCAAACGAAGGTAGAGCTCAGGTGATATGCCGCAGCTGCTAACGAGCTGGTTCATGTGCGCACCAATCGAGGCAGCGATCAGATTGACTATAGCAACCGAGCCTAGGCGTTTCATTGCCCCCTCTGAGCTGTGGCTATTTACAGCGACGTAGAGCCCATTTGCAGCGAAAAACGCCAAGAAGATGGCGACTTCGTGCCGAGGCGCTATGCTTCGTCCAGACAGCCATACGGGGAGTGGTGCCTTTAGGAAGTAGCGCACATCACCGTTTCTGCATAGACGTGCTTTGCTGACCGCCATAACAATCAAACGCAGAATCAATGCCAGAGGGATGGCGCCTAGCGTGATGGCATAGAATTCGGGAGCATCCATTGTGCCATGGGCTAGTTGGGTTGTGCGATTAGTCGGAACGTCGTAGGCGTGGCGCAAGAATCTGATTAGATGTGTACGGTGCAGAATCGTACGAAGACGAAAGTGGCCATCACTTCGCAATGACAAGAGTTTATAAATGTCATCCTCTCGCACCTCTCGTTCTCAGCACTGGGTAGTCGACAACACACTCATCAACGTATTACAATGGCCGAACCACGACGCAGTACGCAACCCACAACACTCTGTCTGCTCCTGCTGGAGGCGTCGGTTGTTTCTATTTTCGAAGCCCTCTATGTGGTGCTCTCTGTCATCAATCCAGCATTGACTACCCTAGTCAATCGACTTGGATTAGCTGATCGCGAAAAGTACCGTAGACTTTTGCGGTCTGTTGCATATAGCCCTGGTCTTTACATCACGATCCTTGGCATTGCTTCAATCCTGTTTTGGTGGGTGTGCAAGCAAAGCTACACATGGTTCATTGGACGCAGCTTGGTGTAAGGTGCTGTATCTCTTCGTAGCCAAGTCATGCTAAGCCCGGATAGGATGGTTGTGACATGGTTACTTCATGGGTGACCTACGTATAACGTGTAATGGTCAATGGGTGCTTGCAGCCCTATGAGGGGGGCCATGTAAGGGGCCTGCAAGGGGCCTTGAGGGACCAGGTAAGGAGCCTGGGTAGGGGTTTGGGTGAGGGTCGAGGACGATGTGAGGGGTTGAAAGAGGGGAGTGAGGGGTCGAGTGAGGGGTCGAGTGAGGGGTCGAACGAGTGCGAGTTATCGTTTGATGATGCTTTTGGCCCATGTAGCAATTCACGGGTGCATATGCCAGTGTTTGTCCCAAGGTGCATAATACAGTAGGGATGATGATGAGAAACTTTCCGAATAGTAACATATTGATGAATCATTGCATGTAATCTTTGATAATAATGTTGTCTGATGTATGAGAAGGTTGCGCAAGGGCGTTGACACATACGTGCATTCTAGCTTGCTTCAGGCTTTCAACAATTGCCCACAGATCACACTTTCGCTGACACGTGCCGTACAGTACCTCTCGTGGATCCAATCCAGCACTCCAGGAGGATGTGCCGCACCGTCTGCGGCCCGTAGTCGCATCGACACTGGTCGATATCGGCCTTGTCAATGGAGTGGAGGTAGGCACGGAGGCTAATCTTCCCCGTGCGCATCCGTGTGATCACCGAACTGATTGCTCTGTGTGCTCCGCGATGTGTACTTAATGTCGCTTTGCCCGGCCGCGCGCTGAGCCGGAAGAGGGCAATTTCCCAGGCTTTCTCCCATTCGCCTCGCAGCTTCTGGCGAACGGCGAGCTTCGTGGTTGCCATAAGGATCCCTGGGATCGTTGTTGGAGGCCCCTCGGCATGGGGTCCTGCGGCCTGTTGGCGGCTTGGTCCGCCATTTCGTTGCCTGATACGCCGACATGGGCCGGGATCCAGCGGAACTGTACCTCCCAACCTCGGGCTTTGGAGCTCATCGAGCGTTCAAGTGGCCTCAACCAGGAGGTACTGTCCCGACGGGCATTTGGGGTTCCGCATCGCTTGGAAACCGGCTCGGTTGTCGGTGAAATTGGTGCACTTGCCGGGGCGGTGAGCAGGCCTCCGGGGAAGGGAAACCCGGCCGAAGTGGGGCCTCTCGGTGCGGTCTAAATTGCGCCGCACGTCGGACCGACCTGTTGGCTCAAAACGGCACTCTGTAGATTCGCCACTAACATTGCTTTGACAACCGCCACTCCCCTTCCTCGCTCCTCGGCCCACGCCGAGGCCGCTTGTCCTCTTATGCGACGTTCGCTTCGTGAAATGCGGGCTGAGCGCACCGTTCTTTCCGATAGGGTACGTTGCGAATATAGACTATCAATAGTATAGCTGCTATCCTCGTCCAGAAGATGTACTTTACCTCTAACATAAAGTTCAGCAAGCGTTATCCTCCCCTATCGTCACTACCCCCATCGTCACTATCCCCATCGTCACTATCCCTATCGTCACTATCCCTATCGTCACTGTCCCCATCGTCACTGTCCCCTTCATCACTGGATTTCCCCTCCACATCAGAGCAGTGCTTTTTATGTGTCATCACCCGCGTCGTCCAACACGTCGTCCCTCCACATCACAGCCAGCAGACAGGAAAAAGTCTGAGGTACACCGGTTCGTCGAGCTGTTGGCGAATGAGCTTCTCATTGATTCCTACGTCGGAGAGCTCGCGACGTGACGAAATGACTTTCCGGCTCGGCACAACACTGATCATTCCATTCTTGCAGTCGACCTTCTCGATATCTCCTTTCTTCCAGCCCCTCTTGAATAATCGATGCTGCGGGTCCCGGAGTCCACGCCAATCGCTGTCGCACTTCCCTGTGGGGTGTTCCGGTGCCGGGATCAACTGGAGGTACGCCGCGCCGTCAACACTCCCGCGCAGAGCCAAGAGCTCATCCCTTAGATTCATGACGTCAGGACACGACGTAATACGTCCCTCCACTGGTACCATGTAGACGTTGCCGCTCCGGTCCACGGACATTCTCGTCATCTCTCGAAGACGCTTCATCCAAGTCTCGTTTCGAAACCGGAAGAGACTGATGAGATTTTTCCAAGACTTGTTTATATGGTGTCCTATAAGGTCCGGCAGGAACTCAACAAACCCCAGGAAAGGATGGAGTGGAACAGGCGGTGTTCCTGGCATTCCGCTAAGGTATACAAAAACTGAGCGGCATCGTGGTTGCAGCTCGACGAAGGGACTCGTCATATAAAACTCGAGTTCGTAGGCGCAAACCAGGTGCGCAGTCGCTGTCATATACTGCGGGCGAGCGCATGCTCGTAGATAGCGAGACGTCTGCATCAAATCCCACAGTATGGACTCCTGCTCGTTGGTAGGGATGGGGAGAGATTCATCGCAGTCACAATATTCCGCCCCGCTGGGGAGTGCTGTGTCGTCCTTAAGGAAGAGGGAAACCGGTCGAGTATCATCCCCACACAAAGCTCAAGACCATCAGGAGGACTTCTTCATATAGCGTGAGTAGAGGCATGCTAATATAGTCAGGGAAGGAGGTTCTTACCAGCTGGCATACGGTGGAGGATCGAAGCTGTCGATCGGGTTGAGAGAGGATGGAGGCCATTGAACCCCTACACTTGGATAGCAACAAATACGGAATGGTCTGCGGAGCAGTTCGAAGGCCGTGAGCTCGTTGTCAATGAGGGCTTGAAAGCGATCTAACCAGATTGAGGAGTGAGCAAATTGGACGCCCCGTCTATGACTCTCGACACGTAGAAACGCGCCTAACACACGACAAACACGCGGATGTGGGTAACCTTTACGGCCAATCATATAAGGAGATGGGACTGATTCAAGTTGAATCAGTCTCGGCAAAGTGGACTGTGTAATTATCGAGTATTAGCTAGTAGCGGGGCTACATAGCGCTGCACAGCCAATGGGAAGAAACCAAACCAAGCCAAACCCGTCTCGGAATATCACCGGGAGTAGCACTCCGGTGCCCACTGATCTCTATGCTGGGGCACGGGTAGTGGCTTGCAGTCGAACTGTGACGCGGGACTCCTTATCTATCTAATCTATAGCGGGGCACCCCGGCTTCGAGGTATCCCATTCCACGCCAACCTCGGGTTTCTGGGGACTCGACTCAACAGCTCCTACCAAGTCCAGTAGCGGCTGCAGGTCTGCTGATTACTTCTTCACTACGCCGCGGTTGTCGCGCTGTCCCGTCCTTGTCGTAGATCTATCTTTGGCCTCTTTACCGATATCCCTTACCTTTGGAGCTCGTCTCCGCGGCCTCTGGGTCGATGGTACCGAGGGATTGACTTTGCTCTGCATCTCCTAAACAGCCTCTCAGTCCAGTCGAAGACGTGGTCATATTTGAGCCCCTTCGCTTGAAACAGGCAACAAAAAAGCTGGCGAAGGTACGAGTAGTCCGGCTCGTCATCGAATGCTAGGCCCCGGGTGTATTTGATGTACGTGGCGAATTCTCCCGGAAGAAAGCCATCGCAGAGCGCCTCGGCCGACAGGCTCTTCTTCATCTCCTTGATCCTTGCGTCCTTTTCCTTGTCCGTGGCGACCTTCGGACCCTGCCATGGCAACGAGCCCCGGGCAAGGTACACGATGACGTACCAAGGGACTCGAGGTCATCCCCCAAAGACTGTTCTTCGTGCGCGTTAGCGAGCGGTCGATCATATCGGGGTGGGGCACCTCCCACGGCCGTTGTGATTGTTGATGCTGGCGTACGACTTGTGCCGCCTAGCGCGAGACCTTAGACGTGCTTGTTGCGCTCGGCAATTTAGCTTCACGTGCGGAGGATGTTTCCGTCTCCTCGGGCTGCTGGCACACTAAACTCTCGCGATGCCCTTGTGGTAGTAGGCATCGGGCGTCGCGCGCTTGTTTCGGCGCCGACACGAGCCAGCTCCAAATTCACGTTCAAGGAGGTCTCGGTACATCCTCCGGAATAGCGCGGCTCGGGTTTTCGCTAACAGGTTGATCGTGCCGCCCCGCCCCAAAGCTAAGCACGGAAATCCGCGAAGCCGGACAACTGGTTGAGGATACGGTCACCACGTCAAGAAGAGCCACACGCGATGGCGCGAACGACCGTGCCGAGAGGCACACCAGTATCACAGATGTGAATGTAGCCAACCGGCAAGTCGAGGCGAGAAAAATGTTCCTGGAGGTCCTAAGTACATTGTCTGGCTTTGGCGCTGCCGCTAACTAGATCGCGGTCCGCGGCCCTCTCCCCCAGGGCTCTCTCCAGACCCCTGAGCGAGTCACGCAGTCGAATGCGAAACCGCAACGAAAGACTCCGCCCTCGCCATCTTCGACCTTTCCGCCCTGGTTCTGTCCATCAATTCCTGCACCTTCTCCACCGCCACACGGGCCGAGCCTCTGTGTTCCACCAGGAAGGATTGAATCTCGGCCGGGGAGAACTCCCCTTCCGGTATTTCCCTCGCGAATTCGGCCGCATATCGCTTCACCGTCTCGTCATCTTCAAAAGGTTGCTTGGGATTGAGGATGTCGCCTTCCCATTGCTTGAAGATCATGTAGAAGAGTCGGAACATCACGTCCTTGTCGGCATTCGGAAGCTCGATTTTCTTGTCTACACGGCTAGCCCGGATGAGTGCCTGATCTAGATGGTCCAAGTGATTCGTCGTCATTATGAGCAGCCGACCCTCATGTGACGATACGCCATCGAGAGCGTTGAGAAGCTCCGCTAGCGACAGCTTCCCTTGAGATCGGGGCCGGTCCCAGGCGGCATCTTCCTTGGCTTGGCTGATGTCCGTTTCGCTTTGCCGAGGCTGCGCTAGACCAACAGCGTCCACGTCTTCCAGCAGGAGGACACAACGAGGCGGGAGTTCCGCAAGCAGAGAGCTTAGGGAGTGGCTTCCGGCGGCAGAGATGTTGAGGATGTAGACGGCCAAGCCAAAGCGCCCCGCCAAAGACAAGCACAAACTGGACTTCCCGGTCCCAGGCGGCCCGTAAAGCAAGTATCCCTTTCGGTAAGGGATGCCACGGCTGAGATGCCATGCGGGAGCTTCCTGATGCAAGAAGCCTTCGATGTCCCGTATGAGTGCCGCCTTCACCTCCTCATTCATGACAACAGTGGAGATTGGCTTGGTGCTCTTCACGTGCGTCCTTTTCCACTTGCCATCATAGTGTTCGAAGATAGTGGTCTTGTTCTTGGTCAGCTTCAGGTACGCGTCCCGGCAGTCATCGAAGAACTGCTTCAGGACTGCTGGGGATCCAAAGCACGAGACCGTGACCACCTCCTCCATACGAAAGCCGAGGTCTTTCTCCACAGAGCGAAACCAGAACAAATACTTGTTGTAGACGAGGTAGGACGTTCCCTTCCAAGGAGAGTAGTGCAGAGGCTTCTTCTGCGTCCTGTTCTCATCGCCGAATGACCGTCTCCAGCCGACTCGGACGAGAGACGACCGTGCCCTGTGAGCGAATGGCTGAGAGGTCAACTAGAGACCAACCATGTCGTACGCTTCACTGGAATATTGGACGTGGACCGTCGAAGCTTCCTATTCGTTCCAGGGCTCGAGACACAGGGGAAATATGGCATGATCATTGTGTGCTTGTACGACGGCCTGGGAGCTTTGGCAACAGGATGAACTCAGGGTAATTTCCGTGGTAAAGGTGTAGCCAACGCTTCGCGACCTCGAAGTACTGACTTAAATCATTGCATGATTTAGCTTTCCGTATCTATGTTGAGTTAAGGACGCCTCTTAAGGGTAGGGTAGCTGCGACCCAAGGCGGGGCTACGGAGGACTTATTAAGGGCAATTGATAGGGGGGCATGACTTTTTGTAACACTTGATTGGGCCAAATTTTCTAGATCCATAAATACTTCCGAGCAAAGGCGGTGAAGCCAGCCCTCTTAACAAGCCCAGATTTCGTGACCGCAAATGCACCCGACCAACACTAACCCTTTAGAACAGGCGTCAAAGAGAAGTATTGCTTTCGGTACTGTTAAGGAGAAGGTACTGATCCGGAATAGGCACGCGATGGGAAGTTCTCTGTATTCCAAAAGGTCGCTGTCGTACAAGACTATTGCCTTACCGTCGCTCGATTGGCGAGCGCCAGGCGAGCGACAGGTAAGAGACGGGCGCTCGCTGACTCAGCGAGTGCTTCCTAATTGAGTGGGTGCGGCCCGCCTCACAGGTACAGGGTATTCAAGGGCTGTTTCATAACCAAAGCTGTCTACGTCTCCCCTTACTACTATGGAAGGAAGAATCTCCTCTTCGCCATCAGCCAGCTCCCATTGATTCCTCCGTCTCCGAATGCTGGGCTGCGTTCTCCGCCCGCTGGCACGAACTCCTGTGGTTCTTCCCGTCCCTAGAAGGGTCGACTGGCTGCGTAACTGGCGCTGATTCGAGACATCAGCTTGGCCACTGGCCTGTCGGCTCGTCCCAAGTTCCATTCTGGCCTGAGTCGACTTGTTCAAGCTGCCCTGTGGACGACCTCGCCTACGGCTCGGGGGCCCTCTGGTCGACCGGTTGACCAATCGGCTGACTACTAGTCTCGATGGCTATCCCTGATGGAACGGCCTGCTTGGCGTTCTTAGGTCTGCCACGGAGAGCAGTGGCGATCTTAGGGTCGAGGATTCGTCGGTATGGATCTCGAGAGGATGCTTCTCGTAGGTGCCACCGAGGATGGACGTCCCATTTCGTGAAAGGCGTACCATTATTCAGCTTTGAGTAGATCCTGTGGCAGCAGGGAATTCCAAGCTCGATCGACAACGAGCAGTCCTCGCCGCAATCCCCGAGGGATTCAGGGAACGGATTCTTCCCGGTCGGCATTGCTTTCCTTGCAAGCCGATATTGTTTGTTGATCAGTCCAAGGCCCTTGGAAGAGAGCGCCGTCCGGAGTTCGCCGAGATACTCCGAGCTAGGCCCAATGTACTCTCGCGCGGTAAGTACCTCGTCCGCTGCGCAAGCGTCGTTGAAATCTCGCTCCTGGTCCCTCATCATGTCCTGCATAGCCTCCATGAGCCGATAGAGATGGCTCATACCATTCAGGAGATAGCTCTTGATGTTGTTGTTGCTTGCTTCTGTACCAGAGGTGACGCGGACGCCGAAGTTGCGATACTTGCGAATGAAACAGCGCGCCCACTGCGCCCGTACAGGCATATAAGTTCCATGGAGATACCGCAGGATAGCTCGCTGGTCATCAAACTCATTGCAGAGATTTCTCCACGCCTTCTCATGAGCCTCCTCAGTCTCCGCAAACATGACGAGCTTCCACATCATGAGGACCCCTCGATAGCTATGAGGGATGACCGCCGCCGTCGGGGCGTGGACCAACTGTCGGTCTTTGGGGCTCAGCTCAGCCTGTGCCTGTGGAGCAGAGTCTTCTCCGTCGCTGCTGTCGGAACTGCTGCTGCTGTGGCCCTTGGCCCACTTCTGCTTTGACTTGAGCAAGACGTTAGAATTGATATGGTGGATGCACAGCTGCTGCTGTGCATCAGGGAACTGATCATTCAGGGCTGCCTTCATCTGATCGTCGAAGTCGGTAATGATAACGTCCGGTTGGCGAATAGAGTGTTGCTCTGAGAGCTGTCGAATACTCTCGGAGAGGAACTGAAACCCCTCCCGTCTCTCGTTGTCAATCAGGCCGAAAGCAGCATTGAAGACAGAGCCAAGGCAGGTCTGTCCTGTTGCCTGAAATAATGGAAGCTTGAAGCGATTGGTGTTGTATGTGTTGTCGAAGCTGATCACCTCGGGAAACCGCTTCCACATCTGGAGGCAGTAGGGAAAAGTCCAGACAAGGCCAACGAGACGGTTTGGCTCATCGTCCGCCCACTTCACGAGATAGGGAATCTCCATCTCGTCAAACAGCTTGATTAACGCGGCGGTGGGAGTATAGCCATTCAGCTTGTCTCGGTTGATGAGAGCTCGGGCGTTGTAGATGTCCCTCTGCGTCAAGATTGACTCGGGATGTTGGTCTTGGACCACAGCCCGTACGTCACGGGCCCGGATACCGACCCGACGGCTCGTCGACTCGATGGTAGCCCTGATGGGTGTAGTGAGTCGTCGGTGGGAAGGGTGCGCAGACGGCCTAATGCTACGTCCATGATTGTGTTGATTGTGTTCGGGGTTTGGGTGTTGTCTTAGGAGCCACTTGCCCTCTTCTAGAGCTTCAGCAATGACCATCCACTTGCATCCACACTTCCGAGACTTGCGTAGCCGAAGCCCTGTACCTCTACTCGGCCGTGGTTCTCCGTATCGGTCACATTGGAAAGAGTACCTCATCCTCCGACCATTGTAGGAATAGGCATGTCGTCGGACGATGCCAAAGCCATTCTCTTTCGCAAAGGTGTTTACCACGTCGAACAAAGCTTCGGCTGACGGCTTTGGGTCGCCTGGGATCGGCGGATTCGGGATCGGGTCTGGGTCGGGGGACGAAGACATCCGAGGAGAAGATCGCATCTCTTGAGGAGATGAAGCTTGGGCGGACGGCTCTCGGGGCGGTGAGTAGGGAGGAGGCGATTCAATCGCATCTGAGCTGAGTGGTGAGTAGCCCCATCTCTCGCGCCATTGACGTACTCGTTCGTATGACCGAGCGAGCTCGAGCGTAAGCCTCCGCTCCGTCCCAATCACTTTTCGTACTAGCTTCAGGGCAGATTGAAACTCGGCCCGTGTGGGTGACGATTGCTGCTGTTGTGCTGATTGAAGTGGCAAGGAAGACAGTGGGTCGGTTTCTGGTCCTGGGACAGGAATCCTCACTCGTAAGGACTGCCTTCCACCGGACGGGAAATCGTTTGAGAGGTGCACCTCGTGATCGAAACGGAGCTCCCATGGTGGCTCGTGAAGTCCACGCCATCCGTGCGGCTGTGGAGCTGTCGTGAAGGTTTCTGGGTAAGATGCAAAGAGATTTCCGAGTACATCTTCGTCGCCGACTCCGTAGTATTGGCCGATACTTGTTGCTATGCTGCTCGCTGAGGATGGCCGATTCGCAAATATCGGCGGGCTGAACTTGCCCTGTCGGCTCTGCCGCTGTCGTTTTCGAGGCCGTACTTGATCTTGAGCGTGGGGACTAGAACTACGGGTTCGTCGTCTCGAGTTGGAAGGAGACTCGGATTGGAACATGACGAAGTTCCCAATTATCGAAGGTTGACCATGGTGGATTTGCTTGCTGTTGGTGGGCTTGATCTGATCGCGTCGCGTCGTGTCAGCTCCGAGATTAGGGGAGATAGCCTTGAGGTACTTAACAGGGTACGGCAGAATTCTGCCAACACTAACAAAAAAGAAATTGACGAATCAGAGGCCCGAAAAGTCATGCCCCCCTAAGGGTCATGCCCGCGTATCAATTCGTCATGCCCCCCTATCAATTGCCATCCTAATATGGAGCACTTGGGGTTCAGAATGAGTGCAATGGCCCAAGCGCCCGCTCCCTGTTGTATGGCAGAGACGCGCCAACTGGACGCAATCTGCTTGTGAATGATGGTCAGGGTCCCTCACGATTAATCAGGCAAAAGATTTGAAGGCTTAAATCGACGCGACGGAGTAGTTAAGGGCGGAACGAGTCAGAATAGTAGTCGTACGAGGAGGCCAGAAACACGCGCGCGACGATGTGGCGTCTGCGGCGAGCCCGGCCATAATGCTCGTACGTATCAGAAAGTTATATCTACCTCTGAAGAAGAGGATTCCTCATAGTTTCAATTAATTTAAGGCATTATGGTTGAATTCTCTTATACATTGTCGTACGGGTGCCTGGTGGGTGGCTCACTTGCTTGTGTGGCTCACTTGCTTGTGGATTACGTTATAGAGTATGAGATTGACGAATTTCCCCTTACATTCCGTGCAGAGGTGCTTATCATGAAGATAACGCCTACGCCAGGCGAGTGTGAATATGGCTGCTCCAACCTTCTACCACTACCGTATCACCACGTCGCAACCTTTGCCCTAGCTAGACCGGCCAGGTACGGCCCGTACTTAACAGCTGCATAGCCCAGCCCGCCTACGCACATCCAGGATATGGCCCCCAGCACGTAGAGAATCCTAATAACCTTCTTAATCTCGGCCGTCTCGTTGGTCTTGGGGAAGGGCACATCAGCCGGCGGCACGGGCTTGCCCAGGAACTCGCAAAGAGGTTTCCACCCGTCCTCAGGCTGCCACTCCAGCACCTCCCTCCCGCGCTTCTTAGCCTCGCGGCGCACGTTGTCGATGAAGGCGTCGTAGTAGTCTGGCCGACTGAAGTTGGGGTCGGCGGTACTGAACGGGTTCGGCGTACCCATTTGGTCCGCGCTGAACTGTCGTTTCGATCATTTTATCCCGGTCAGCGCTCACTATCCAGATATATCCATCCATTATTGTCGTCGTCGTCGTCGTCGCAACGGGCGCCGCGAGGGGATTCAGTACTCACCTGCCAGAGACCTGCGCCCAGCTGGTGCATGTCGCGGTTCATAGGAAACCAGATTCCAAGGATTCGGTAGTGGAGTTTGGACCAAAAGACGATGGTGTTGTTGACAGAGTTGGCCCATACCCGGCCGTTACGCCGCTGGTTCAGCACGATCTTGGCGTCGGGGTACAGGTCCATCAGGTCGGCAGTGAACATGCACGCGGGCTGATCTGCGGGGGGTGAAGGAGGTAAGTGCTCGGGTTGTCCTTTGCAGGTGTACAGTCATTGGGAGAGAAGGGGGAGGAGAGTAAGTTGTCTATGTTGGATACTCACCAGTTATAGCGCGGTAGCCTTTAAGCATCTCGGCGAGCAGCTTCTGGCGCTTTTCGGGATGGGGTTCCCGCAAGGTTTGAATAGCCAGCTGTAATGGCAGGCCCAGTCATGCCTTTGTTAGTCGAGTCGCTGCGACCATATACAGTGCACTCGCGCAGCTCTAGACTTACCTGTCGTGCCTTGGGAAAGGCAATGACCTCAGCCATATGGTGAGTCGGCTTGTAGTCCAGCCATTCAGAGTGCAGGGCCGCCTGTAGCGAGCTGGTGGCACATCTTATAACAGCAATCATTAGCATTCAAACTTATGGAATGAGATGCGAGGGGGATAATCACCTCGGCAGACCAGCTACGATCACTTCAATGGTCCTATTACTCGTCTCCGTAGGCTTCGATTCCTTCAGCAGCGATTGAAGCGCTCTCATGGCGCGTGCGTCTTTGATGTTCCAGGAGTCCATTCTGTCGGGAGGCGATGTTAGCGCGTGCTTCTCGTCGACAGTCTGGTTCACAGATGAGTTTGCCCGATCGTCCAGACAGGTCTCGATGAAGTGGCTGCGAATGTGCGCGACGTTCAACATCTGGGCACTCAGCTGGATGAAATGAAACTATCACAGCTATCAGGGAGTACTCCAATGTCTTGGAAGAGCTTTTTGTAGCCCCACAGTAAGCTGACAGAGCTCTTCAAGTACAGAGCGCACTAACCACATATCCACGTGATATGATAGTAGCCCACGTGTCCCTTCCTGCAAGCCCCGCGCGTGACTAGGCTTTATCGAAATTGATAAGCATGGACTCAGCCGTCTTTAGTCCATATTGCCAAGACGGGCAAGAGCGAAACCCCCGTTTCTTAGAAGTAACTAGCTATGCTACAGTGGTTCGGACGCCATCAAGACTATTAGTATGCAGCAAAGCATTTCATATAGCTGATTGGAAGCCGGGTGCGAAAGTCCCTTGCCTGGTTGGGTGGCCCTTAATGAGACCGAAGGAATAATGATATAATAAGTAACCTAATAAGACAGGACCCGCTCTATTTAGCTAGTGGGGTAACGTAATCCACGGGTGAACGGGTCACCTTCCTGCAATTTCATTAAGGTTCATTCTTTCTCCTTTTTCTCCACCTTTAATCATGGGACGACAATCAATTGAAAGTGATTTGGTTCTAGCGCTAAATGCGCTCCAATCCAACCCAAAATTAAGCGTACGAAAGGCTACATTACTCTATAATATATCTCGTACGACACTCCAGCAACGATACCACGGCCGAGCTGCGAAACGCGATATCCGACCACCCTGCCAGAAATTAACCTCGTACGAAGAGCAGAGTATCGTGCGATATATAGTCGACTTAGATTCGCGATCGTTTCCACCGCGCCTTCGTGGTATTCGAGAAATGGCGGATCGACTCCTCCACGTACGCGACGCGCCGCGCGTCGGAACCAACTAGGCTGTAAACTTCGTACAACAACGACCTGAGCTCCGAACGCGTTTTAATCGAAGAATCGACTATCAGAGAGTCCTCTACGAAGATCCGGACGCGTATCACGCGTAGTTTAAGCTCGTACGAAATATAATCGCGAAATACGGGATCCACAATAACGATATCTATAACTTCAACGAAACGGGCTTTACGATAGGTAAGATCTCCGCCGAAACTATAGTTACAACCTCCGATTAACACGGCAAGCTAAGAGCCGTATAATAAGGGAATCAGGAATAGGTTATAGTTGTCACGATCCTGCCTCCGGGGTCAACCGTAGGGCAGGGCGCTGGGGTTGCTGTTCTGGAAGATAGGTAAAGCCTTCGCAATACTCACTGACTCCTGCTGTCGTTCTCTCTTGATGGGTTGTCGTGTCTCTGGGAAGAGATACCAGTCTCGGCAATTGAGTGACTAGTTCAAGTGTGTGGTGAAACTGATACTTAGATTGATCGCTGAAGTACAAAGGTAATGACTGTCTGTCAAGGAGATCCTCCATCCCATATATATCCTTTGTCCTTCAGTTCGTGCCCCTGGGATCATTGGATATGTTGTGATCCCCATATCCTGGGATCGCTGGATATGTTGCGATCCACATATCCGTATGCCCCTTGTCCTGCTGACGTAATTGCCTGATTTATCTAACGCCCTTCCGGGGTGTGCCTCCCCGCGTGCATGACCTGCCCTTGTCCTTGGCCCGATCTTGCGACCTGTTGGTCGGGTTGTCACATTGTAGAACTCGTGGTTACTAGCCTAGTCGGCGCTGACCACGACTAGACTCGCCACGCATACGAGTGAGTTAGCTTCCCGGCCCTCCTCCTCGGCCGACCTCCACCGCACGTAGTCGATCCCGAACGAGCGTGCCCTCGCTACGAGATCGTCGATTAGCGCCACGAACGGAACGACGACGATACTAATACCGCCGTTTACCCCTCGTACGGCCGGGACTATAAATAACAGACTCTTGCCGCCGCCTGTCGGTAGTACGACGATAAGTACGGAGCCGCCTCGCATCTGCATAATCCGGACCATAGCCTGCTCCTGCTCTATCGTTCTCTAGCGGGTACCGGCCCCGATAATCGATTCCAGCCCTTGCTGGGTCCGGCGCCTGATCTCTCCGACCGCTTCTGGGAGCGCCTTTCTCTGCTTCGACGGTTCTGGGCTCGGCTCTCTCGTCTCCTCCTCCCTACCCGGGAGTCCGGCCTCCTTATCGAACGATTCGGCTTCCGAAGACTCTCTCTTCCGCTTCCTCGTCCGCTTCTGGACCTTGTCCGGCGACTTGCCCTTACCCTGGCTATCCCAGCTTAGATACTAGTGCCAGAGCCGGCTAATCTCGCGGTAGTTAGCAATCATCTGCGGCTGTAGCTGCCCTGGGAACTGGATGTTGATCGCGTAGTGCGATCGTGCCATAGTACTACTATGTGTCGCTTGCAGATCCCAGATTACCTCTGTCCGGTCCCTCGGCCGTACCTCGCCGGTAGCCTCGTCGAATTCCTCGTCCTCGGCCCCGTATCCGTCGTCGGCCGCGCCGACCTCGAGCTCCTTCTACTGTACGACTAGCCCCTGGATCGTCCGGCCTAGCTCGATCGCCAGATGTCGGTACGCCGAAGTACCTAGCTCGACGCCGAGATGGCCTATCGTAGCTGATCGGAGCTCCTTCGTTAGCACCTCCGTCCCCTAGCGGCCCTTCCGCGCGTCCTTCCATAGCTAGTGCCGTAGCGAGTCGGACGGCCTTCAAGCCCGCGTCGCATCGAGTAGCATCTCCTCGAACGGGACTAGCCAGACGAGATAGACGACGAGCAGCCGCCCGATCCGTTCCGGGAGAAACCGGGCGACTTTTCGGCCGTAGCCGCGGATCGACTTAGCCTTATCTCGGTCCGTCACGAGCATCACCTACCTATCGAATGTATAGACGCTCCGGCTAAGCTACTTCGTATCTAGATACCGTACGCTTGTAATCTCGGGTCCTCGGCCTGGCTGGCCTCCCCAGACGTGCGTTAGTATGAGCAGCTGGCTCTTTAGCGTCCCGATCTAGTTTAGCTACTTCTGCGACCTCTCCCGGTAGTACTACTACCGCTACGGTGACTAGAGCTTCTCCGAGACGAGCTCGGTAACGACGCGTGGCCCGGCTCGAAGCCAGCTGTTCTACGGGTTCGTAATAAACGATTTCCCGTCTCCTTCGTATATGACCGTATCGCTGATCTGATCGAGCCTGGTCCGGTCTAGTAGCGCCCCCGACTGGCCGTATAGCAGCCCGTCGAGCGCCGATTCGGCCGTTGACATGAGCCCCTGGGCTATCCGCCGGAAGTCCTGAACCTCGATCCGGAAGCCGTGGAGCCGGAGCGCCTACTTCCCGTCCTCCCAGATAATTCGTGCCGTACCGCCCTCCTTTACTCGGTAGCCCTTACCGATCGTTATAAACCGTATGAGCGTGCTAAACGGGCTATACGCGCCGTCCGCGATCCACTACCGGTAGCCGTCCATAAATACGTCGATATCCTTTCCCCGTAGCCGGCTGGGCCCTTCGTCCTCCTCCCCGGCATCCCCGGTCTCCCCGGTAGCCTCCTCCTGGATCGGCATGTGCTCGAACAAGTACTCGAGCAGTAGTACGCGGCTACACCACGATAGCCCTGCTAGTAGTGGCGTGAACTCGGCTGGTAGCCGGAACCGTGCTCGGACGGGGTCGATCGCGAGTACCGTAGTGAAGTGTAGTAGCGGGTTCACGTACGGCCGGACGAGCACCTGCTGCGTAAGCGATAGAATACAAAACGTGAAGACGGCTTCGTCTAGATAACCGTCGTCGCCGTTCTCCTCCTCGCCGCCGCCGCCTACCCGGGAGCACTCCTCCTTCGTACTATCGAGAGCCTCCGTAACGGCCTCGAGAGCGGCCCACTACCCGTCGGTAAACTGGACCTGGTGCTTCCTCCTCGCCTCCGTACGGCCGAGCCGGAAGACCCGTACGCAGTAGCATAGATAGCGCCGCCAGTAGCTCCGGTACTTCTCTATCGTCTGCGCCTCCTGCTTTATACTGAACGGCCGCGGCGACGGCCGGTTCGGGTCGCGGCTCGCTAGCCAGCAGAGCGTCTCGACGGGTACCTGGCCGATCCGCCGGCTACACCGGTTGATTTCCCGGTCGAAGCTCTGGCCTAGCCGTACGAGCGCCGCTTCTGAAGCCTCCCTCTCTTTCCGGGTAGACCAGCTTAGCTTAGCTAGCTCCTTCGTCGATAGACCTGGCTCGGCGGCGCGCCGTAGCTCCGCCATATCCTTACCGGCCAGATGTGCCGCCCAGCCCATTTGGCGGACCCACGGCGACTCGAAATGGACGCCGGCCTCGTAGTCGATTATCCGGCCCCGCTCCGCGTCTTCGGCGGCCACTTTAGCCTCGTACGCCGCTATGTGGGCCTCCCAGTGCGGTCCCGCGCCCGGGCTGGGGCCTGGCTCCGCTAGAACCGGTACTTTAACCCCCTCCTTCGAGCCCTCCCGTCCTGGCATGGGGATCGGGGCGTCGACGACCCAGTATCGCGTAAACTGCCTGGCCGACGAGAACGACTGGAGTGCTGCGCCCTCCCAGCTACTGGGCCCGTCGTGCCCCTGCTGTCCGGCGGCTCGCGACCTGTTCCAGTGCTGCGACATCCGCTTACTACTCGTCGTCAGATATCGGCACGCCGTACAGCGGAGCCCGGCCTGGACGGCGAGCTGCTCGATCGGCTTGCTACCGTCTGCTGGGAGCTCGGCCGAGTGCGGGTCAACCAGCCCGCCGGTGCTAGCTGCCGTCTCCGTAATCGCGGTGGCTAGCTCTCTGATCTGCTGTAGCTCGTCTCCTTGGATCTGGTGCGCCTGCCGGAAGTGCGGAGCGACGTTGACGCCTGGTCGGATAGCTGCCTTGCAGTACAAGCACATGAGAACGCGCGCCGGCTCGTATAGCCAGACGGCTGAGACTGCGCTGTCGGATGCTGCCATTATGCTTCGCTGTAATGTCGTACTATTGTTTCTTACGCTTGCGAGTCTACCGTTAGTATTTGACATCTATCTATCTCTAGCTATGCTTCTGGGGGTTTCTATCCGCGCGTCTCTCCTCTCCCCTGCCGCGTCGCGTACTTTCTTTTCATCTCCCTTATTATTCCCGACCCCTTAACCTTTCCAGACCCTGGCCTACGACATTCGCCTCCCCCGGCCCATGCGCGCAGCTGCGGAGTTGGGGTTAGTTGGGGGTTGTAGCCCCGGGGGTTGGGGTTAGTTGGGGCTAACCCGGGGTTAGGGTTAGCAGTTAACCCCCAGCTGTTTTGGCGCGCGGAACTTGACTGCGTTGGGGTTACGGAACTTGACTGCGTGCCCCCCTGCTACCCCTGTATGGCCCTTGCGCCCCACCGGGAACTTGACTGCGCCAGCCAAGTTCCAGCGGGAATGATGGTCAGGAATCCGCGAAAGTGAGGCCTTCCCGGCCGGCAATAATGGTTAGGTAGTGGTCTTCATCCCAGGGGCAGATAAGCCAGTCGTGGTCTGGGCGGAAATGGTCAGCCTGCTTGACGTGTGAAAGGCCTTCGCAACCATAGCAGGAGTTGAACTTGTGTTCGTCCTCCAGGTGGCGCAGCAGTACATATATACTTGTGTTTTGGGGGCAAACTGGACATTTGAGATGCTTCTCGAGAAGATGGGACATGATTTCCTCCTCGCTTGCTTGATCACAACGGCAGCCGACGACAAAATGGCTTTTGAGGTGCGCTCGCATCGACAGGGGCTCGACGTGGCCACACACCTTTCAAATGTTCTGCTGGTGTTTGTCCCGTATATGAGCTGCGAGTGGCCCGTCAGGAATCCTGTCACATATCGTACAGACATCATGAGCGTTCTCGAGGTGTCGCCGAATATGTATCTTTGGAAGAGGTATCCAGCAGTGATCGCATCTGGTGAACTTGGGCAGTTGGGAGAGGCATGCCTCCGTGTAGTCCATCCCACCCTTCTTAGTGATTATAAGAGTTCGGGGGAAGTCAGCATAGTGATCGGTGTTTTCGTTGCTGAGTAAACGGTTGCTCGCGCGGTCGATGTCGTGAGTTGTTGGCCACCGGTCTATTGGTATGTTCAGTCGCCCTCTTCGGTCTGGATGAGCGTGAATGCGTGCAAACTTCGCGGCGTTCTCAATCTCATCCGGGCCATAATCCTGGCGATACTCTAGGCCCAAAGTATCGAACGGGCTGGCGAGTACTTCACCGTACATGATAGAGATACGCAGAAGTGCGAGATGGGCATGCGCAGAGGTGCGAGAGGTGCGCAGAGGTGCGAGAGGTGCGCAGAGGTGCGAGAGGTGCGCAGAGGTGCGTAATGGAGGAAAGAAGGGAATGCGGAGAAGTGTAAGATGTTATTAGAGCAAAGTGTCAGCTTAACGCTGTCACGTGGAGCTCCCGCCGTATCCTGCAGTGAGAGATAAGGGTTACCCGGTGCATAAAGTCCGTACCCAAAATGTCAGTGGCTCAGCTGAATCAAGTGGGTCCGACGTCTTAAAATGCATGTGGGGATCATACCACGGGGCACTGCGTCTGATTTATCTCGTGCTCACGATGTGCTGGCAGGAACATTGTCGAATCAAGATGGATTGATGGCTCTAAGAGATCAGATACACAGCCAATACGACTCTGCACCGAGCACTTTCCAACTGGCCTGATCATACGGCGGTCGGGGAGTCTTTACTTTACGTTCGTCGTCCTGAAAGAAGCTTATTATGTCCCGGGAATGTCCAGGCAAGTGTGGGGATGCCGTGGGTGGACTATCGCAGGACGATCAAGCCTCCGGCTTCTTGCCCAGATGAAGTAGAAAGGCATATAGAGATGAATAGATAGGTTCTTGATGTCGTTCTTCACCTTAGCGATGAGGACCTGAATCTCTGTCGAAGCCAACCAAGAACGCGAAAGAAACTCCCGGGGGTGGGTAGTTCATCACTGCTTAGTCGCCTCCCTGCTCGAGGCAGGTGAGAAGCTAAGAGGTGAGATACAATCGTCACAAGATCCGTGTACATGGATGCCACTTTTTTTCCCTGATGCGATGGTTAATGCAGCTGCCTCTCAGTTTAGAAGTATGGTACCACTCAACTGTATCACTTTCAATCCAGATGCCAATCTCATCGGCATGATCCATACCGTCGGTGGTGCCAAAGTGCCAGTATTTTCCTCTTGCATTTGCGACTTGTTCTGGAAGTCTGGGAAAGTCACAAGCGTCGACAATGAGACTTCTGCCCCGATTCGCGGGAATGTCTCCGTTTCGATTAAGAGGACCTTTCATAGAGGCTGTATTGACAATCCCATCGTTGACCTTCCAGTCCTCTGAGTCGTCTCTTAGGATTTGCCGTTGATCATCGCTTAGTTCCTGGGAACTGATGGCGTACGCTGTTGGGAACATGAGCGGAAGGACGCTCGCTATCGGGAGATAATCCCCAGGTGGCGGAACCCTAACATTGTAACCGACTTCCTGTATGAAACGGTTTAGGACCTTGTCGACCAGCCACCTCGTGGCTTCGCGTATATCGACTACATTTGAGACGATACGCCATCCGCCAGGTACGTTCGTGGCGACACTAATAATCCCTTGAGCAATTTGTGTAGCCAGGCCGAAGCTGAACTTGTGAAATTCCGAATAGAAAGCACCGAGGAATGGGATATGGTTCAGGCCATCTTGAATCGTCTTGTCGATATTGCCGATGATTGGCAGCTCCTCGAGAAACCGAGTGATAGTCAAGGGGAACTCCTGTATAGCCTCTAATGTCCAAGATGGCCAATCTGGTGGAAATGGCTCCACACAGCTAAACGACAGACTGAAGTAGTATACGTCGTTTGATGCTGGAATCGTCTTATCGTTCAGTTCGTTTACTCCCATCACGCTGTTATCGTAGAGGGCGTTGTGATTTGATTCAATCCACCGGCGCACTGGTCCGGGATTTGCTTGCCAAACCGAAGATTCCAGTCGCTCTCGCATTTCTGAGAAAGTTTCATTTCGGTTTCTTCTAGTGCCTCTCTTGATGCCCCAGTGGTCAAGCTGGAGGTCGTACGTTCTGCGGTGCTGGTCCTTAAAGGACAGTACTGCGAACAATCGACCTAGTAATCGAGTCTGTTCGGGAAGATCTAAATGCTATGCGCAGTGTTAGAGCGGTGGCACATGCGTGATTGCAACTATAACATACCCTGGAGAGGTTCCATAGAGCGTCTACTACCGTTGTACCTCTATGTGGAGTCCCAACTGTTGAAACGGAAATAGCCCACTTGCTGCGCCGTGGTGTGTTGAAGTATCTTGGGTGCGGCAAAGTCTGCTCCGAATTTTCTGTGCAATGCTCCATGAGATGGAGCAAGTATCGGACTGTATTTCCACCCTGGGAATGGCAAATAAAATGAGCGGGACTATGCTCACCCCAGGTCCAATTCTGCCACTGAGGCTCCTGTGTGTAGAGAATTGCGGCCCTTTGGCCGCGGGCTACCGACTCATATCGGTGCCGGGTGGGGAACACGTCCCCGTAGTCGACATCGATGACCTTAGGCTCTCCTTCGATTTCGTTCGTCTCCAGATTATACTGCGTAAACCTGTAGGGTGTTAGTGACAGTTTAGTAGAGGGCACTGACGTAAATACCTGGAAGAGCTAAGCTGTGCGTATAACTCGCATGCCCGCTCCCAGTTAGATGATAACGGCCCAACTGGTGCCAAGATTACTGTGTGGCCGTCATTCGCGAGGATTTGCGGAATATTCTTAATTCCGCCCCAGTAATTGACAGCGCCGAATAGGGGCGACCCCCAACCTGAGAATCCCGGGACTTGAACTGTCAGACGGAAGACCTATCCAGGAAGGAATATCATACCAAGTACTATCGGAACGTCCGTAGAAGGACCGTCCCTTAGATCCATTGCGGCCACCCTCCCTGCTAGGCTCTCTAGCTTCCTCAGTCCATCCATGCTGTGTTAGAACCCCTTGCGACAGTTTTGTTGTTTCAAATGTAGGCCGAGGGAACAGTCATTCGCTTGAAAGCCATCGCTGCGCCGAGGATAAGAAGGTCTGGTTATCCGAGGTCCTGGAAATCGGGGTTTTTCTTTCTCAACATCTCAGCAGGATGGGATGGCGTTGAGGGACGATGCTAGGGACATTTATATAATCCTGATATGACTCTGGTCGGAAGTCGAGAGAAATCATGGGGGGTCATTCACATGCAAATTGGAGGAACACTAGTTGTAGCCGAGTAAAAGCCTCAGCCCCGAGGTTTCGCATAAAGTGGCATTCCTCACGGGTCAGGAAGGCAAGTATCCGAGGCACGTAGCCTACCTTAATTCTAAGCTGGATCTACGGCTTCTTCCGCTGCTGCACTGTGCGTATCTGATTTAATATTAAGTGGAAGTTACCGTCGGAGAGTCGAGACCTCGTTGTGGACCTGGTCCGGGGATGCGGACTGGTTGATTCGGGAACACAGCGATGGAAACACGAGGGTAGAAGACGTCCATGCTGGCGCTCGGGACAATATGGTTGTGATCAAATCTTGTCCCGTCGCCCTTGATTAGGACATAAGGCTTAAAGTCATCCCGAGGGATCAGGAGCACTCGCAACTGCAGTTGTGAGCCAGTCCAGGCCCGGAGGAAGGGACGGCGAGGCGGTCACTTGGCTATATGTTACTGACAATCGCAGCTTCTTTCAAGGCGATCTCTCCAGTGGAGTCCAGAATACGACTTAGAATTATGGGATATGGAAGGGATGAGAAGATTACGCTTAGGTTTGTGTAAACCTAGGGGTCAGCTCCGACGGAGTGCTTATACGCCCGTCGTCCTCGCTTATCCCTAGAGCATCTTAAAGATTAGCAACCGTTTCGTATCTCAGGCCGCAATTCTTGGCGTGCAGCCGATAACTCAGCCCATCTGGTCCTAGCTATACAGCACACTCAGTCTATCCGCTATCCCGAAACACAGTATTAGGAGGGAGGACAGGCAAACGGCTCGTATCTAGACAATCAATTTTTATTGGGTCCGGTCTCTGAAATGCATCACGGTTGAGTTAATATGCGGCGATAAAGCGTGGTATCGACGGGTTAGGATTAACAGGGGGACCTCGCTTCCGTGGATCGGCGATAGGATAATAGTCCTTGCATCAGAGGCTTTTATTGCTCCTGATCAACCAGAGAAGTCCAATCCTGTTTGGCTAACAAGAAACGCCTTATCACTGCTTCTGGGTCAGACGTCCTGGAGTTAGATCCCGGCTTGCGGTAATCCCGACTTCTCCTCCACTGTCCGTAGAGCTGTTATCGATCGTAGAGTAACTTAACCTATTAACTTCGTTAAAGTATAATATCGACCTGGCACTAGGTCACCTTACGCTATCAATGATGTGAACTCAGAGAAGGGAAAGGATAAGCTCAGAATTACTAATATAGACGTGGAGTAGGGAGGAGGCACGCTCAGTTTTACTAAGGATACGCGGTGTAGAGAAGAAAAGAGGCACGCTAAGCACTATTAATAACGTGGACTTAGAGAAGGGAATACGTAAGCCGTATAGGATACACCGAGAGGAGGATAAAGAGTGGGACGAGATTACACTCTACTCTCCATGCGAATAAATGGCGATCTTAGTGGCTTGAATCACATGCTCGAGTAGATTCGAACGGGATCGGCAGTATGTTCTACCGCAAACACGAGATGCAAGTGTGATGTGAGGCATTCTGTCGAAACGACTAAATGGTGATCTCAGTAGCTCCAGCTTACAAGTTTCGGGGCATTCGGTAAGCTGCAAAGTTTCGGGCATCTCCAGCTGCAAGTTTCGGGGCATTCGGTGATCTGCAAAGTTTCGGGCATCCCCAGCCTACATAATCCCAACCTCTGCATCCAACCATGTTCGAAACTGGCCCTCTACGCCAGACGGTCTGTGCGCAGAACTGTTTGTGCATGACCTACACGGACACCGATTTCGAATCTGACTGTGTTACATAGCTATGATGTAAGTACTATTAATAAAAGTCCTAGACTGGATAGAATGTGGCGTTATTGTAAAAGCATGACTTGAGAGGACCTCGTATCTTTCCACTGCCTTCCCCAAAATAGCCTTGGATGCTGCAGGTTGAATTGGGCTGCCTTCGAACTGTGAGCTCGCACTGTTGTTTAGATGTTCATAATTCAGGCCACAGGTTCAAGCTATTTAATTGGCGGGTATACTGCACTACAAGGAGATGTTGCTGACATGTGATGGACAGGGGAGTGGGAAGTTCCACATGCCGCGGGTGCCCGTAGCCAAAGGCATATGCAGCCATGACGTTATCCTCGTATCGCCTGACGGAAAAGTATGGGACTACTCGTTCACATTAGCTTACATCTGTTCGAAAAGAATGTCAGTAATAAGCCACAAAGTTAGACTAGTCATAAACTCTCTGCTTTATTAAAAGATTCATTAAATAGTTAAATGGCGATAGAAGAGTATGGATTGCTATTGGTCTTAAACCAATAATGCATCCCGTTTCATATTTTCATGCCTGAGGAGGCCAATATTATAAAGCCTAGCTCATCCCTTTTCCTAACCCTAGGCTCTTTCATTCAAGACCGCATTTGACGGCCCACATATTCCACTCCTCACCTCACAAACTGATAGTTTCTCCTTCCTCCAGCCTTGCCACACTATGCCAGAAGAAACGCCGAAGCTGGCAAGCTATAAGCGCATCATCCTCTGCTCAGACGGCGCATGGCTTGCGTCCGACATAGGCGACAGGTCCGCCCCTACCAATGTCGCCAAGTTAGCTCGAGCAGTTGCGAACAGTGGCCCTGATGGTAAAGGTAATCTCGTGAAGCAGATCGTGTCGTACCATTCGGGCCTTGGAAGCGGGGACCTCCCGTTCCAGAAAGCCATCTATGGTGAGCTGCTCAAACCCAAATCTTCCTCTTCGCTTTCGCTCAGACAGCTTTACTGATGTGTTTGCTACTGCAATTCACAGGCGGCTTCGGCTGGGGTCTCGACATCGAGGTGTCTCAAATCTACGATTTCATCTCCAATAACTACGAGCCTGGCGATGAGCTGTTCTTCTTCGGCTTCTCGCGTGGGGCTTTCACCGTGCGCTCAGTCGCCGGCCTTGTCTGCGATGTCGGCGTCCTCTCAGCAGTGCACATGTCGCGCTTCACAGAGATGTGGAACGCGTACCGTGCGAATACGAGCGGTGAGCCCTTCAGGAGGTCAACGTGGTATCTGGATAATAAGGAAGAGCTGGGTCTTACGGACGTCAGGGTTAAGGTGGTTGGCGTTTGGGACACTGTTGGAGCTCTGGTACGTGACGCAGGACATGGTGGATACTGCTTAACTGACCTTGCATGGCTAGGGTATCCCGGAATGGCCCGTGGTGGGTTGGGCGAGAAAAGTTGGCCTCCCAATCAACAAGCAGTACGCATTCCACAACACGAAGTTGTCAAAAAGTGAGTGTTATCGCAAGTGCTCTCGCAGAATGACCAGGCTAAACGACGATTCCATAGATCTGGACTATGCTTTCCAAGCCCTCGCCATTGACGAAACACGACTAACCTTCCCTCCTACCCTGTGGCACAAAACTGCTGACGGTCCTGCCAAAGATCTGCAGCAATGCTGGTTTCCCGGCGTCCACGGCAGCATTGGCGGCCAAAGAGAAGATTCGCATGCCTTGGTTGACTTCGAAGAGATCGGCCACAACACCTTTGCGTGGATGGTAAGCCCTTCCTAGCCTACTGCATCAGTTACGATCCTAGTCGACTGACTTCCCCATGCTCCAGGTAGACAATCTCTCCAACATGCTCACCTTCGAAGACGCCGCGATCAAGACTCTCATTGAGGAGCACCGTCGCGCGCTCAATTCCATCAATATTACCAACGGCTGGGGCTGCGGGCCGATCTTCGACAACTTCTCCGGGCTGCAAGGCGTCTTCTTCTGGCTTCTCGGGAAGAACGACCGCACACCGGGCACCTATCCGCGGGACCCGGGCGACGGCACTGGTGGCGCCACGAACGAGTATTTCCACCCTATCACGCGGATCCGCAAGGACAACCTCAACTACAACCCGGCGTCGTTGCAGGGATATGCCCTTGAGAGGCCTGATGGCAGTGCGGGGTGGAAGTGGGTAAAAAGCGGCGTCCAGGCGATGCCCGAGTACGTGATGAGCCCGGAGAAGAAGATGAGTGTATCTTATGAGGAGCGTGGGAGAGTGAAGTATCGGGTCGAGGAGAGCTTATCGAGATTACTCTGTCCGAGGAGCATTCTGTTGGATCTGGATAGGGACAATGGGATAAACGGGGTAAGCAGGATCGTGGGCTGAGTGATCATGGAGAAATGGCATCTCGAGTGAACGAAGAGTCCAACCATAGCAGAGAGCCACAGAGTATGCGTGGAAGCAGTTGGGAGGCGCCATTTAGCTCGTAGGACTGTATTCGCATGTTGACGAAGAGCGCAGACCTGTATATGATGCTCATAAGTGATATAGCGATATCCCTAAATCGACATGCGATAAGAGGTAATTGGTGTAGTAGCTAGCTAGTGAATAGCTTCTATATGTCTCGTCGATCGTCGTGGTGGAGAGCTAATCCCGAGGTATAAGGGGAGCGTTGGCGGAATCTAGATGCACTAACAAAAAGGGATGGACCAATCAGAGGCTGCAAAGGGTCATGCCCGTGTAAGAGTCATGCCCGGGTAGCAATTCTTCATGCCCGTGTAGTAATTGCCTCAGAGAATTAGAGCCTTCAATTCGGCACCCCCTTTTCTTCTTTTCGATTCACAGTCTCCTGGGGATACCTAACCCATTCAATTTTAACCCTAACAACCGAATCATGGATCAATGAATGGCCGCCCGAGCTCGAATAATTCCGGCGTCCTCTGCCGACATCTGCTGCCGGAACCAGCTCTCTAGCTTAACCGGGAGCGTAGCAGTGAGCAGAATTACCGGGCAGTCGAATCGGTATAGCCCTGTGAGGCCCGCTAGCCTCTTTCTGTATCCGACGTCTATGATAATCGTGTGGCATTCGTCGATAAATATCCGCCGTAGCAGACGCCGGCTTCGGAGACTGTCGAGGTACGTCGAGAACTCGTTGTTGCTTGCCTGGTTTGCGCTGACGACGACTAGTCTAGCGACCCGGACGAGCGAGTTAGCCTCTCGTCCCTCCTCTTCCGTAGACCTCTAGTGGACGTAGTCGATTCCGAACGAGCGAGCCCGCGCTACTAGATTGTCGATCAGAGCTACGAACGGTACGACGACGACGCTGACGTCTCCGTGGAGGCCCCGAACTGCTGGAACCATGAATAACAGGCTCTTGCCACCGCCTGTCGGTAGTACCACGATCTGTATAGAGCCCCCTCGTATCTGTAGGATCTTGACTATGGCATTCTCCTGATCAGCTGTTCGCTATCTTGCTCCGGCTCTTAGAATCGTCTCGAGTCCTTGTTGAACTCGCTTCTGGATGTCCTGATTTGCTGCGGTTATTGCTGATCGACGCCTTGTTGTTCTGATTTCTACGACTAGCTGGCCGGATTGGCCTAATCGAACCGCCCCCGACTTACTGAGGCCCTGATCACTGCTTTCCTCGAGAGGAATCGACGTTGTAGTAGTCTCTTCCTTCCTCGGCTTCTTTCTTGGTTGCTGCTCGACCCCGGTAGCGCTCCGACTACGACTCCGTCTTCTCTTGGACGACCTCTCTCGCTCTCTCTCTCTATCCTAGCTTAGAAACTGGTGCCACAGCCGACTGATCTCTCGGTAATTCGCAACTATCTGCGGTTGTAGCTGGTCTGGAAACTGGATATTGAGTGCGTAGTGCCCTCGTGCGGTAGCACTACTATGCGTTGCCTGTAGATCCCAGATCAGCTCCGTCCGCACCCTAGTTCGACGCTCTCCTGTCGTTTCGTCGATCTCGTCTTCGTCTTGGTCGTATCCGTCTCCCTCAGCCCCGATCTCTAGTTCCCGCTGCTCTACGACGATGCCGCGGATGAGTCGGCCTAGCTCGATAGCTAGATGTCGATATGACGACGTCCCGAGTACTACGCCGATATACTTCGTCGACGCCCTCTGGAGCTCCTTCGTGAGTATCGTAGTATCCCACCTCCCCCTACGCCCGTCCTTCCAGAGCTAGTGGTACAGAGAGCTAGACGGTAGTCGACCCTTCGTCTCCTCTAGTAGCATCTGCTCGTAGGGAATGAGCCAGGTGAGATAGAGAACGAGCAGCTTTCCGATTCGCTTCGGTAGGAAACGAGCTACCTTGCGACCGCAGCCTCGAGTAGCCTGAGCCTTGTCCCGATCCGTAATGAGCATGACCTGCCCGTCGTAGATGTAGACGCTCCTAGATAGCTGCTGCGTATCTAGGTGTCGGACGCTGGTGATCTCGGGACCCCGTCCAGGCTGGCCGCCCCAGATATACGTTAGCAACATAAGCTGCTTCTTGAGTGAGTCCAGCATGCTAAGCCACTTATACGACTTTTCTCGATGGTAATGGGCTCTCTGGGACGACTATAGCTCTGTCGAGACGAGATCGGCGACCGGACGAGGCCCGGGACGTAGCCACTCGTTCTCCGCGTTCGTCGTAAACGACTTTCGATCCCCCTCGAACAGGAGGCTATCCCTAATCCGCCCGAGATCGACCTGTCCGAGGAGAACCTTCGTCTTCCCGGATAGTAGTTTGTCTAGGGTCGACTCTGCGTCGGTAACGACCCCCTGGGCCATCCGTCGGAACTCCTGAACTTCGATGCGGTATCCGTAGGGCAATTGATAGGGGGGCATGACGAATTGATACGCGGGCATGACCCTTAGGGGGGCATGACTTTTCGGGCCTCTGATTCGTCAATTTCTTTTTTGTTAGTGTTGGCAGAATTCTGCCGTACCCTGTTAAGTACCTCAAGGCTATCTCCCCTAATCTCGGAGCTGACACGACGCGACGCGATCAGATCAAGCCCACCAACAGCAAGCAAATCCACCATGGTCAACCTTCGATAATTGGGAACTTCGTCATGTTCCAATCCGAGTCTCCTTCCAACTCGAGACGACGAACCCGTAGTTCTAGTCCCCACGCTCAAGATCAAGTACGGCCTCGAAAACGACAGCGGCAGAGCCGACAGGGCAAGTTCAGCCCGCCGATATTTGCGAATCGGCCATCCTCAGCGAGCAGCATAGCAACAAGTATCGGCCAATACTACGGAGTCGGCGACGAAGATGTACTCGGAAATCTCTTTGCATCTTACCCAGAAACCTTCACGACAGCTCCACAGCCGCACGGATGGCGTGGACTTCACGAGCCACCATGGGAGCTCCGTTTCGATCACGAGGTGCACCTCTCAAACGATTTCCCGTCCGGTGGAAGGCAGTCCTTACGAGTGAGGATTCCTGTCCCAGGACCAGAAACCGACCCACTGTCTTCCTTGCCACTTCAATCAGCACAACAGCAGCAATCGTCACCCACACGGGCCGAGTTTCAATCTGCCCTGAAGCTAGTACGAAAAGTGATTGGGACGGAGCGGAGGCTTACGCTCGAGCTCGCTCGGTCATACGAACGAGTACGTCAATGGCGCGAGAGATGGGGCTACTCACCACTCAGCTCAGATGCGATTGAATCGCCTCCTCCCTACTCACCGCCCCGAGAGCCGTCCGCCCAAGCTTCATCTCCTCAAGAGATGCGATCTTCTCCTCGGATGTCTTCGTCCCCCGACCCAGACCCGATCCCGAATCCGCCGATCCCAGGCGACCCAAAGCCGTCAGCCGAAGCTTTGTTCGACGTGGTAAACACCTTTGCGAAAGAGAATGGCTTTGGCATCGTCCGACGACATGCCTATTCCTACAATGGTCGGAGGATGAGGTACTCTTTCCAATGTGACCGATACGGAGAACCACGGCCGAGTAGAGGTACAGGGCTTCGGCTACGCAAGTCTCGGAAGTGTGGATGCAAGTGGATGGTCATTGCTGAAGCTCTAGAAGAGGGCAAGTGGCTCCTAAGACAACACCCAAACCCCGAACACAATCAACACAATCATGGACGTAGCATTAGGCCGTCTGCGCACCCTTCCCACCGACGACTCACTACACCCATCAGGGCTACCATCGAGTCGACGAGCCGTCGGGTCGGTATCCGGGCCCGTGACGTACGGGCTGTGGTCCAAGACCAACATCCCGAGTCAATCTTGACGCAGAGGGACATCTACAACGCCCGAGCTCTCATCAACCGAGACAAGCTGAATGGCTATACTCCCACCGCCGCGTTAATCAAGCTGTTTGACGAGATGGAGATTCCCTATCTCGTGAAGTGGGCGGACGATGAGCCAAACCGTCTCGTTGGCCTTGTCTGGACTTTTCCCTACTGCCTCCAGATGTGGAAGCGGTTTCCCGAGGTGATCAGCTTCGACAACACATACAACACCAATCGCTTCAAGCTTCCATTATTTCAGGCAACAGGACAGACCTGCCTTGGCTCTGTCTTCAATGCTGCTTTCGGCCTGATTGACAACGAGAGACGGGAGGGGTTTCAGTTCCTCTCCGAGAGTATTCGACAGCTCTCAGAGCAACACTCTATTCGCCAACCGGACGTTATCATTACCGACTTCGACGATCAGATGAAGGCAGCCCTGAATGATCAGTTCCCTGATGCACAGCAGCAGCTGTGCATCCACCATATCAATTCTAACGTCTTGCTCAAGTCAAAGCAGAAGTGGGCCAAGGGCCACAGCAGCAGCAGTTCCGACAGCAGCGACGGAGAAGACTCTGCTCCACAGGCACAGGCTGAGCTGAGCCCCAAAGACCGACAGTTGGTCCACGCCCCGACGGCGGCGGTCATCCCTCATAGCTATCGAGGGGTCCTCATGATGTGGAAGCTCGTCATGTTTGCGGAGACTGAGGAGGCTCATGAGAAGGCGTGGAGAAATCTCTGCAATGAGTTTGATGACCAGCGAGCTATCCTGCGGTATCTCCATGGAACTTATATGCCTGTACGGGCGCAGTGGGCGCGCTGTTTCATTCGCAAGTATCGCAACTTCGGCGTCCGCGTCACCTCTGGTACAGAAGCAAGCAACAACAACATCAAGAGCTATCTCCTGAATGGTATGAGCCATCTCTATCGGCTCATGGAGGCTATGCAGGACATGATGAGGGACCAGGAGCGAGATTTCAACGACGCTTGCGCAGCGGACGAGGTACTTACCGCGCGAGAGTACATTGGGCCTAGCTCGGAGTATCTCGGCGAACTCCGGACGGCGCTCTCTTCCAAGGGCCTTGGACTGATCAACAAACAATATCGGCTTGCAAGGAAAGCAATGCCGACCGGGAAGAATCCGTTCCCTGAATCCCTCGGGGATTGCGGCGAGGACTGCTCGTTGTCGATCGAGCTTGGAATTCCCTGCTGCCACAGGATCTACTCAAAGCTGAATAATGGTACGCCTTTCACGAAATGGGACGTCCATCCTCGGTGGCACCTACGAGAAGCATCCTCTCGAGATCCATACCGACGAATCCTCGACCCTAAGATCGCCACTGCTCTCCGTGGCAGACCTAAGAACGCCAAGCAGGCCGTTCCATCAGGGATAGCCATCGAGACTAGTAGTCAGCCGATTGGTCAACCGGTCGACCAGAGGGCCCCCGAGCCGTAGGCGAGGTCGTCCACAGGGCAGCTTGAACAAGTCGACTCAGGCCAGAATGGAACTTGGGACGAGCCGACAGGCCAGTGGCCAAGCTGATGTCTCGAATCAGCGCCAGTTACGCAGCCAGTCGACCCTTCTAGGGACGGGAAGAACCACAGGAGTTCGTGCCAGCGGGCGGAGAACGCAGCCCAGCATTCGGAGACGGAGGAATCAATGGGAGCTGGCTGATGGCGAAGAGGAGATTCTTCCTTCCATAGTAGTAAGGGGAGACGTAGACAGCTTTGGTTATGAAACAGCCCTTGAATACCCTGTACCTGTGAGGCGGGCCGCACCCACTCAATTAGGAAGCACTCGCTGAGTCAGCGAGCGCCCGTCTCTTACCTGTCGCTCGCCTGGCGCTCGCCAATCGAGCGACGGTAAGGCAATAGTCTTGTACGACAGCGACCTTTTGGAATACAGAGAACTTCCCATCGCGTGCCTATTCCGGATCAGTACCTTCTCCTTAACAGTACCGAAAGCAATACTTCTCTTTGACGCCTGTTCTAAAGGGTTAGTGTTGGTCGGGTGCATTTGCGGTCACGAAATCTGGGCTTGTTAAGAGGGCTGGCTTCACCGCCTTTGCTCGGAAGTATTTATGGATCTAGAAAATTTGGCCCAATCAAGTGTTACAAAAAGTCATGCCCCCCTAAGGGTCATGCCCGCGTATCAATTCGTCATGCCCCCCTATCAATTGCCATTAGGATTGGCACTTGGACACAAACTTACGGTGGGCAGGGATGCTAACCCCCAGGAACCACCCGCCCCCCGGCCATTTGGGCTACCCCCATTTTCCCATAAGGTTCAGGTAAGTGAAGGAGAGAGCTGGGGTTCACACGGCAGACACCGGGCGGGAAAGATGAAGGGTGAGAGCCACGCGACGACGCGTTGTCGCAGCTCAGGCACAGAAAAAAAAAGGAGAGTTCATCATTGGGCTAGACCGGTAGATAGATATAAAAAATATGTCAATACTTACGACCATGCTTTATCTACGTCATTCGAGCTCTACTGTACAGTGGTAATTGAGGCACTACTAACAAACCCGTCCAGACGCGAAACGCGGCAGCGACTGCAGCGAGACCAGGTGCCGCAGCCGGGCAACGTCAGGGAGTAGAGATGGAAGACCATCACGACGACGCCGGAGCGCCCCCATCGGAAATCAATGTATATCTCCACGAGGAGTCGCGCGTTCTTATATGCTCGGTATGCAAGGCTGGCATCCAGCCCCGGCCCGGCATTGAGTCCCACTTCCGGCGGAGGCACGGCGCAAAGGGTGCTGTTCTGCAGCGGATCCGGGAGAAGGCCACGACAGCCGCCGCAACGGCAGGTGGGCTGGCGGACCCACAGACAGCGGAGACGCCAGCAGATGGGACGTCGCCCGTCCAAGAGCTCCGGGTACAGGCCGGGTTCAGCTGCACAGCATGCCGCTTCTTAACGACAAACGAGATGGTAATCCGGCAGCACTGGACAGGGAGGAAGTCGGAGGTGGACGATAGCCATGGTTGCTATGAGCGTTCAAAGAATAACTGGACAGCCGTAGCACTCCAGTCTTTCTCCCGAGCGAGGCAGCTTACACGATACTGGATTGTCGACACCACCACTCCGCCACATCGAGTAACCACAGGAGAGGAGACTACGACTGGGAGAGAGGCAGAGTTATGATCTGCCTTACCGGATACAGAGTGGGAGCTGCAGCTTCGCAAGTACGAGGCGAAGGCTACAGCAAAGGCAGAAGAGCGGCAACGTATGATCGGTGAGGAGACGGGGGTCGATTTTGAGTCTGTGCATCTAGCAGGGTTGGACATGGCTGAGCTTCGAAGGGCCGCTCAGCCAGGTCTGACTCCAAGGGAACTGGCCAGGCTAGGATGGGCAGCAAAGAGAGGCCGAGAAGAGGAGGAGGCGATGTTTGTGCGACTGGGCCAGAGCTTCGACCGGACGATTTCTCGATGCGAGCAGCGGATCGGGCAGGTCCCCGTCGAGACGCTCTGCTGGTTGGCGAGCCGGGATCCAGGACGTCCAGCTCCACAACCGTTCGAGCTAAAGCAGGAGGCTCGGACAAGAGAGAGGTATCGCGCGTACTGGAGACAGTATCTCTGCTACTGTGTCCGAGCGTATCGTCTTGGCCGGTCAGAAGCGAGGACGAAGCGCCATATTCGACTAAGCGATGCGCAGTGGCTAGCTCTTGTGAATCTAGTCGACGCGCTTAGCAGCAGCGCAAGTAACAGAGGGGGAGGGCTTGTAGTTCCCGGGAACATGGAGCGGGATGAGGACTTAGATGCACGGGTCTTCACATTTTGCATCTCGTCACTCAAACAACAGGTCATAGTGGACCAATTCAAGAACCCGCTTCTGCACTTTACTGCCGTGTTGGCTATTGACCCCGCACGGGCAAAATGGAGGGCTCCCGGCGAGTTCACGGGAACACTAGCCGGGCTGGCGTGGTGTAGTCGCGTGCTACTACTTGAATTGGGTAGGAGACGGCGGAGGCGTAGAGACGCATGGGGAGTCCGTGCGGGGCAGGGATGGATACGAGGTGGTAGTTCCAATCCGTCGCTGGCTCCCATGCCTCGCGACCTTCGCGCTGTCCGCCAACCGACACACTACCAATCCACAAATTTGAGCGACCTCCGTCGGCCCATGCCTTCAAGACCTAGAGATCCTCGCCGAGGCTGATCAGGGCGTCCACCCAGACTCTCATGCCGAGGCGGCACTCGAGGCTCGATCGCAGGTCTCGCAGAGCCGCCTCCAGACGCTTGCTCGCGCCCCCGCGCAGTCTCCCAATGCAAGACTGGTGGGTCGTTGGCTTGACATTCCATCCTCAGGCACCACATCCTCGCCATGCGGTCCGCATCGGACTCGGGGACATTGAGCCGGAATGGAAAATGAAGTCTTATTGGTCAAACTTTTGATCCTGCAGTGCCTCTCGAAATGCTTCATTCGAGATGAGACTTTGGTTTCTGTCGTTCCCATGGTTTGTGCGTTGGGAGAGGCAGCTTGCGATCAAGTCCCCTGCCTACCCAGCGACTGCATGACTGGGTAGGCGCACAACACAACTTGAAACGTTATCCACAGCAGACTCTAGCTCTCTCGCAAAATCGTCCTTCCCTTGTTTCTGTGATGCCCCACGCTTCCTCTTCCGATTCAGGCCACTACGGCCTATCGAGCCGAGAGGCTGGCGACCGCGGAACTCTGCACGTTCGAAATCCACAACCATGAGATTGCCACTGTTTGTATCGCAGAGGATGTTGCGTGGCTCGGCGTCACGGTGGAGAACGCGCAGTTTGTGCACTGCCTTGAATATCGTGGTGACCGCTTTGACGACGCCCGCCTTGTTGGTCTGATCACCGCAGTCAAACAAGGGCCGCCCAGCCCAGCTGAGAAACATGAAGTGCACGTAAACACCGCTGTCGTAATAGTATGGCCGAATTAAGTCTATGCTGCCGAGACAGACGGGGATGTGCTTCCCCTGGATGGCCCGGAGTCGGTCGTACATCTCGTTCTCGTGCTGCATGCAGGCACGGTCGAGACCCTCCATACCCTTGGCAACGAGCGTATAGCCGTGGGTTGACAGCCGCACCTTGAAGAGTGACCCGCGCGCCCCGGATCGATGGAGTGGCGCACAATCCGCATCGCGGCCGCGGTCCATGGCAAGCTGGTCTCTGATGCGGCGGAGGAACTCGAGCCGGTCGATGTGCCCCTGCCCGTGATGGTCCGAGTTGGGGCAGTTCTCGTCCGTGGGCCCGCCAAATGCTAATCCCAGAAGGCATTGTTGAGTGCAGAATGGCCGGCCTTGTATGTTCGGCTTCGTCGCTTGGCCTTGCTCCCGTTGCTCGCCTTGGCGCCGTCCTCGTTTCCCACCACCCCCCGAGCCCGGTCCCGTCGACGGCACCACTTTCCCGCCGGTGCGAGATGGATTCGGAGTAGGAGAAGGAGGATCTTCGTCGTCGTCCTCTGGGCGTCCAACGTTAGCGTCCAGTTGTTGGCAGCGGGAGCGGGTCCGAATTGGCGATCGCTTAAAGCCCTTCCAACGCTGGGGCTTATAGGGAGAGGCGCGGGGTTCCTTGCGTTTGCGCTCCGTCACCGGAATATTCCTCAGAATATCGTCGTACTCGACAGCCCAGGTATCAAGCCTCTCGGCCTCGTCATGCCATGACTCGGGCGGCGGTCTCGCGCGGAGAGCCTGGAGAATGAAGGCGAAGACCTGCGCGGCGGCCGTGCGATGGAGCCTTGTCTCGTCGTCGTCCATAACGTCCAGGTTCGGCACGCATACCGAGAAGTAAACGGTAGCAGGATCGTCCGGGATATGGAGGAAGACGAAGGCCTCTCCCGTGCACACGTAGCCGTACTGGATGCCCTTGCCGATCATGTACGAGAAGAGTTGGGTGACGACAGCTGCGGTAAGTGCCCTGGCCGTGAAGGCGAAGCCCTGACCGTCGTTGTTGATCACGTCACGTTCCGGCCGAATTTCCGACTCGAGACCTGTGACGACCTCGTCGACGCTCAGCTTGTGTGGCGCCTTGTATTCGATAGCGAGTGCCGGGGCATTCTGGCCGTCCGAAGTCCTGTATATACAGAACTGGTCCGCCCGATTACCCTTGCCCCTCGCCCTGCGACGGGCCTTGGGAGCGCCCGGTGGCTTCGGGGCAGACGCCGACGCCGACGCTGCGGCATCGGCACCGCCCCTGCCAAGAGACATGTGCTCCAAGGGCTCGGAGATGGGGTCGTCGTCAGTCGTACCGAGATTCGTATGGCTCTCGAACGTCACGGTTCCCTGGAGGCCGAGACTGCTTCGCAGCAGCGGATCCATGTATGCCCTATCAACCAGCTTCTGTACCGCGTTTTCGATGACATCACGCTCAAAGTCCCGGAGCCCAAGCTCACTGCTAATAGGCTTGAGCAAGGACCTGACGTATTCCAACTGATGTTGAGATGGGAAGGTGGGCAGGGAGGAGAAAAGGTCGCTGATCGAGAGGTCGTCCCAGATCTCCCCTTGTCTCGTTGCGAAGTCGTCCCAGGGGATGATTCGTCGAGGGAAAATTCGGCCGGTCGGGTTGGTAGTGTCACCTTGCGTAGTCAAAGATTGGTCAGTTACGACCTGAATAGCAAGGTTGAGAGAGTGACAGGCCTCGAGATATTGCTGGAGGTCCTGCGGTTGTGATGCTGTTGCAAGTTCTTCGGCCACTTCGCGTCGGCGTTGCTCCTCTTCGCGTCGGCGTTGCTCCTCTTCGCGTCGGCGTTGCTCCTCTTCGCGTCGGCTCTCGGCCTCTCGTAGCAACTGTCGCAGCTTTTGCAGCTCTTCATCCATTGTAGCGTAGGCAAGCAGCCACCACTGTGGAACGACAAGCCCGAGTGTATTCGTCGGGCGAGGCGAGGGCTCGTTTGGGCCAAAGTTGGAAGGTTGGACGGCAGCCGATGAGGGGTGGGCAGTCTGACAAAACTTGGGTATGGTCGATACTGGTGGTGGAACTCTTCTGGCGGACCAGACACGAAGCTGCGATGTTTCAATTGGAAGAAGGTCGGGATTGAGGATTGTAGATGTTGAGAGCGCGTGAGGGTGTGATCTGGCACCATGACGCGTTTGTTGTTATCTGGGACTGCAGGTTGCTCTTGTCGGCGTTAGGCGATGCCGGCGTTACTTCGGGAACCGGCCCGCCTGCCACCAAGCCGCCACGACCGAGCCACCTAGGCTCCGAATTAGTCAGCCTCGCGCCAGTTGCCACTGATCGGCGACACAGAAAATCAACTAACCCGGCCAACCAATGAACGCGCAGCATCTACCCAATCCGGCCGTCATGGGGAATCTGTGCCTCCAGGGCAACAATGGTATGTCACGGGTGTGGGAGTTTCAGTCTGCAAGTGGCAAGAAAGGGAGGTAGAGGAAGGGAATAAAGAGAGAGAAAAATGGGGGGGGGGGGGGGGGGGGGGTGGAGGGGAGAACGAAGAGGAGAGAAGTGCGCAGAGAGCGGAGCAGAAGAATATCACATTACAGAATGGAGGGCGCCTTCGGGTTGCCGATGGGCGCAAAATGGTGGTACAGCGGCAGGAAGATGAGGTGGCAATCGCCCGGAAGGTGGTCGAGGCCGCAGAGTTAAAGTATCGTAACGCACTCAAACGTTGCTATTTTGAGACGGCAAAAGAGGCACGCTTATGGCGGACGTCAGGGAAGCTTGCTATGGTATCTATTTACGAAACTGGCTATCCATGCCGGTTGTTGAAGCGATTCGAGTTACAATAGAGGAAAAAGTGGCGATATGGGTGGTGTGGCGATTGGGTGGTGGGCTTGACCGCCATCCTAAAGAGTGGGGCGTGGCACGGATACCAGTGGCAGGAGCTCTCGACCAGGCTCGACTCGTGGCGCGTCACCCTCACCAGCATCCTAGTTGGTGCATGCGTTTCGTTGTCGATTGCTCTCGTGCTCCAAGAACGGAAGACCAAAATTCCTCTATTAGGGCGGAGATGCGTTGGGGCGAAGATTTACGTGCATTGTCGGTTGCAATACTAGGCGGCTAAACCCAGCCCTAACAGACGGCTAACAGCCGGTGCCAAGAAATGGGGTTGTCGAGGGGGAGGGTGGCCCTATTGGTTGATAGCCACCGGGCGCAATAAATATGCGCACGCACACGCGCGTGCGCGCGTGTGTGTGTGTGGCTCGTTACCGACCGGAATGACGGGCAGGTACGGCGCAAGACTAAGACTGCTCGTCAGATGTCCTCGACTAACATTGTTGCTATCATATGTCTGTCACATGTTAGGGACTGAATAACCTCGCTGCCTTAACCTCAGCAGGGTGAGTGCTGAGTACCATACGAGAAGTACTGCGCTGGCTTCAAACCTTATATATAGTACTATTACCTCTTGTGTACGGCTGCGTATCACGTGCACTCCACTAACGTTGTCGTACTCATATGTCTGTCACATGTTAGGTACTGAATAACCTCGCTGCCTCAAACTCAGCAGGGTGAGTGCTGAGTAATCCTGCTTTAGCGTTCCCGGCCTTGGCCGTGTCTTGCGAAAAGATTAGCGCCGGTGGCATTCTGGATGCAGTGACGCCGAGGCTTTACGCTGATTATCTGTTTATTACCGCCGCGATCAAGGTAGTCACAACACTCTTCGGCTCTTGGATTCAGTGTTGCTCAGTGAGATTCATTCCTGACCTGGGTGCTTGGGTGCTGCCCAGGAGGAATATGCATGGAGCGTACGTGCTAGATCCTGCAGGTCCTTATGATAGCCGATAATGAATTGCTAAGGATGAAAGCCGTGACATGTCTAACACCTCACGAGATGAGGCGATTAAGGGATATTGAAGTGGATTTTTCGGTCCCTGGTGGCTCGTAAAGTAGGTAGCCTCTCCGGCTAGGGATGCCGCGGCTTGTACTCCACATCAAGATAGCAAGGGGAGAAGAATGAAAGCGAGGGCATAAGACGAATTTCAACCATGATCATGGATGAGAAGGAGAAGAACTCACAAGAGGCGTCGAGAGCTTCGCGGCCCAGACGCTCGCACATGGCATGCAAACAAAGCTTCCCTTCTACTATCGGTCGGGGGGTTGGGTGGAGTCAGTGGCGAGGCGTGCGACGAGCAACAGTCCGCCTTGGAATGAGGTCTCATTTTCGAGTTTCACTTATGCAAGCAACCGGCTTTGATGACCTCACGACTACCACACGGAGAATGCCGAGGAATTCGATAACCACTAAGGCTGAAGCTGCCTTGCATTCCAATGAGAGCTATAGGGGGGTTGCGTGCAAAGGTTTCAAGGAGAAAAAGCATGTGATTCCTTTCTCGCCTTTAATACTTACTTGTCCTCAACCCAGCGTCACGAGTGACATCAGTCAGACCATGTCCACCATCTTCTCCCCTCTCTGAACTTCTCGATGTGAGCTGAAATGGCGGCAGCACCTGGTATAAGGAGGGTGATCGTCCTATACGATGGCACATGGTGCGGCCGCACAACCAACACCAGGAGCAATATCCACCTCCTCGCAACAATGATCGGGGTCAATATGGCAGCGCCAGCCTTCATACTCCTCGCCACCGGGCTCGCCGCAAGATATACGGGCCAGATACTTCGACGGAGTCGGCTCGAACGGCAAGTTTACGAACTACCTGTGGAATGGCGCCTTTGCAACGCAGGCGAGAGACGAATGCACCGAGGTTTACAGGTTCATTGTCCAGAACTTCACTTGGGACCACCATGTTCACACTAAGGTATGGATGTTCGGCATCAGCCGAGGAGCCTACATCGTCAGATCCGTTGCCGGTTTGATCAACAATTGCGGCATAATTATACAAAATCCAGCGAACACTGCTCTCATCGATCAGGCCTACAGCCTGTATCGGAACCCACACCCAATCCACCACCCATCATCGCCCGAGATGGTCGATTTCAGATCGAGAGTCAGTCACGCAGTACGGACACCAATAAAGTTCATGGGCATTTTCGACACTGTCGGGAGTCGTGGCATTCCAAGGCTGAACTACGACACTGGAACAGGATTCGAGTGGCCCGAGTTTTACGACAACGTGGTGTCGACTGTGGTAGAGAAGGTCTACCATGCCCTGGCGATCCACGATAGGTTTTGGATATTTGAACCATGCCTAGCATCAAGGGACCCGAGGCATACAGCTCTCGCTAACCTCAGGATCTCCCAAAAGTGGTTTCCAGGCTGCCATTACGACCTCGCGAGGCAGGAGTTCCAGTTCTTTCGGGAAGGAGGCAGCTGGCTGGAGGCGATTAGCTTTCCTATTCTCAACTTATTCAGCAAAACTGTCACGCCTAATCATAAGCTTGCAGACATGGTCTTGATATGGATGCTTAAAGGCATCCGCGCAGAGGGAGGTGGCGACATCATAGGCTCAAACACCAACGGACCCGTTCCTCTGATCCCCATCCAGACGGCAATTGACAACACCATCCAACGCCTCATCAATCAGAGTCCAACTGGTACTGGGGACATGTACGCGGACATCGTCAGCTACCTCCCGGGGGGAAGGTTTTTTTCACCTCTCGTGAACTGGCTCGGGAGGCTCGACGAGACTCCGTATGCTATTCTATTCAAACCAGTGGAGAGGATGATACCCGACCATGGCATGAATAGTATAGCTGGGGCCCCTATTTGGAACCAGGTCTATGACTACGATGCACCTGATACCAGTCTTCCAGGCCATCCTATACTTCGAGCCATTGCCGACATCGACGTTGGGCGCTATCCGTCGAGGACGTTGGAAAAATTTGTCGCGTATATGAATGGGGTTGGGCGGCCTTGGAGAGGCTAGGGAACGCACTGATCAAGAGGGTCTAGTTAAGCAATGCTACGAACAAACACGATTGGGCGAGGAGCAACGACTGAGCGGAGAAACCGTGGACCGGGAAAAGGATCACTGGGATCTCTGTGATGCAGCAAGGGGATCACTGGAAAGGGAGTAATCTATAGTCTATATAAACGGACAGTCCTTACAGCTGAATAGTTGGTCTTAATTGCCTTCTAACGATTAACCAAATTGTTTACTAGTTAAACTTCTGCTCAAGCTGTGGAGGATGCTTCACTGAAAGCAGAGAGTGCTGAAAGTGGCGACCGAGTGGTGGTAGTTGGGCGTGGTAGGAGAGCCAAATACAGGCAGCAGGCAGCGGGAGCGCATCTGGCTCCAGATGCACCAACCATGTTCGTTAAGCAAACTAGGCCATTTCTGCAGGAGTAGGATGCTCAGGGCTGTTTCCTGGAAGCCAGAAATAGAACCTGTATTGTGGGTTGGACGCTGCATAGCCGCCACTAGGGCGGCTGGGCCAGTCTATGAATAACGGCCCCTTGCGTGCTCCGCCGCAGCTCCGCAAGCAAGTGCTGAAATGATACAGATAACAGGTCTCTTCCGCCATCCCTTCTTCCACCGGAGTGGTGTGCACTTGACTGGGCCCCAATTTCTCGCCCTATTACAAGACGGAAAACGCGCAGGAGGTAGACAGATGGGAAAAAGGGAAACGGGGACCAGAACGAGAAAAGGAGGGGGAACCCTAACCCTAATACAAGGACGTATCAACATGATTTGAGCTCTAGCGGCGCTCTAAGGATAAGGTTATGTTAGACCTACCCGACTTCAAGTACGATTTTAAGTTTAGCTAACTCTTAACGTACATTATCAGTGAGTGGCCCATATCAGCGAGTGGCCCACCCTCATACTACCCTAGAACAACCCGCCTCAATTGCAACACATCAACACTAACAACCAACTATTATTACATCGGAAGCAGCTGAATCTGATGCTTCTACAGCCTCCTGGCAAGTGCGTACATTATGGCCAGGCTTGCCGCACACACCACAGCAGCGAACCCTCGAAGGGCCCCCCTTGTACCACTACCATCCAGCTGCGTTTCTTGTACTCCCTCCCCACCCACGGCCCCCTGGCCTAGTGCCTCCTGTGCACCCTGTATAGTAAGTGATCCTCTAAGCTGCACACGTGTTCTTTTGGCTCTCCGGCGCTTGCTTAGTGCCTCGTTGGCCTTGCGGAGTGAAGCGTTCTCTGACTCGAGGATGGCCACCCGGTGCATCACAGCCATTGTACCCTTGGTAAGCTGGTCAACAGCAGCTAACATCGAAGTCGGGGAGCTGTTTTGATGGCTGGTAATACGAGTCTTGATGAGCGTTGACTGCGAGTTGGCTTCTCGGGGGTTATGGGGTGTCTGGAAGACCCAAGGTTGTATAGTGCTAGGCCGTGAGGTCGGGGGTGTCGGTGTACGAAGCTTAACATCTAGCTTAGAGAGCACCCTGTCTGGGTCGTACGGTAATTATCCTGCGCCTGATGAAATCGGCCATATGAACCGCGCAAGTCCACCCACAAGGAGCTGCCTGCATGACTGTCTCTAAAAGCACACAAGACTTGACCTCAGGGCGTGTTTATAATGTGGCATAAATTGTATGATCGGCGTGTCTCACCAAAGAAATATAGTACTCTTCTATTTTGCTGCAGTCATTCACAATATTCCTTGAAATTTTCTACCCCAAAACTCAGTTGCTTACCGTGAAGAGTTTTACATAGATTTAACTTGTTTGTCAAATGCACGGCGTGGTAAAGTATGAATTGACACATTCCCTTGGGGCGGACCGAGGGAGGCGCCCGAGTTTCATGATTGTTTCGAGCGCGCGTGGGCATGCGCGCATGGGCATTTTTAAGCGCCGATCTGGGGCTCTAAGTTACCCTTCACGCAGAATCTTCCAAGTTTTGGTATCACCTCCTCCAAGCGTCCGTGATATTCATCGCTTGCGAACCCTCTCTTCACAATCATATCACGACAGACCGACGATCGCGAACGCAATGGCGACAATCGCACATAGTGTAGCCCTACCATCTGTTACGCTCGACCAGGCAGTCCTTCCAGGCGAGCAGACACGAGAATATTTCGCCAAAAGCCCCTGGATATGCTACACCTGCTTCAATTTGCACCCGTTCACTCTAACAGAGGCATACCCGTGCGGCACGATCCGCATCGAAAGCCGCAATGATCTCGAATTGCATGGCACCCGTGACGGGGCCACGGAACACAACACCCACGTCATCGACTACGACTGCCGCCTCCAGGATATCAAAGAGTCTGCGTCTCAGATGCCCGCCTGTGCAGGTTGCACATTGCTGTACTGCGTGCTGAGAAATCTCTACGGCGACGAGGCCTTCTTGGAGCCTCGACTTGGCGTTGCCATCCGCCAGCTCAGCCCTGGCTTTGCGCTCAGGTTCTATCTCGCACTCGCGCGTCCACGGGAGGACGAATACCAGAGTCTGTTTGACGAGGCCCCTTGGGGTCCTGATAATGATGACGACGAGGTCCGCCGGCTAGCAACCAAATTCAATGGGTTTACGACCCTAGGGGGTCCGGAGTTTGAGTTGTACACCCTTCCAGGTGAGTCGATATGATCCTCATAAAGAACCCTCGAGAATGAGTATCCGCTAATCGAGCTGGCATACTCTGCGAGCAAGTATTTAGGCCAAGCTTGTCCTTGGATTACCATAGGCAGCCGCATGATGTTACAAAACAACCTTTCAGTCGGCCTGCCCATGTGTGGCACCGCAGGTCACGTATATGACGACCCTAATACGGACAAGTTCTGGGAATTCGTCGAGCGGCAGATCAAAGTATGTACTGAGGAACACGATAATTGTCGGGCTTGCGACCGCCAGGCGGAGACTGCAGGACTGTTGCCGACACGGCTCATTCAGCTCGACACTCCGACAGAGCGCGAGCTATCTATCAGGTTGGTAGATACACATGAAGAGCCTGACATGCACGGCAAGACATATGTAGCACTTTCGCATCGCTGGGGAGAGAAGATGCCAATCACGACAACTCGGGAGACATTCTCGGTCAGGAAGTTCGACATCCCATGGAACTCACTCTCCCTGACCTTCCAAGACGCTATCAGAGTTGCCCTTCGCATCGGCATCCATCTCATCTGGATAGACTCTCTATGTATCATTCAAGGCGACAAGGATGATTGGGAGATCGAGGCGGCGAAAATGGCATCCATCTATCGCAGCGCCTTTGCAGTCATCTCGGCTACCTCAGCGAACGGGCCCCACGACGGCTTTCTCGATAGAGAAGCTTCCTATGCCCCTGTTCGCGGCACAACCGTCACAGAGGAACCTTTCGAACTATATCTGCGAAGATCGCGCCTCCATCACGGGTACTTCACAGGCTCCAACGACGCCTTGGAGCCTGGCGACCATGCTTTGCTCTCCCGTGCCTGGTGCTTCCAGGAGAGACTCCTCGGAACCCGGGTGATCCACTTTGTCAAGGACGATATCATCTTCGAGTGCCTTCACGGCGCAGTCTGTCAGTGCGGCGGTGTGGCAGAGGTGCGCGAGACCAGGAACAAGCTCTACCGCGCTAGAGTGAAGCTCCCCCGGCACCGCAGCATTGAATCGAGCAACGCCAGACGTTACGTGGATTCTCTGCGCTGCTCTACCTGCGGCGCCGAGTCAGTCTCTGTCACGGACAACTCGTGGCAGAGAGAACACGCCGAAGGTTGCTCAGCCATCGTTTTCTCTGCCTGGGAGGACATTGTCGCCGATTACTCCAAGACCTCGATAACCTTTCCTGCGGATTGGCTGCCTGCGCTGTCGGGTATTGCCAACCAGTTGTCGGAGCAAGTGAAGAGTCGCTACTTTGCTGGCCTATGGGGTAATAACATCCTCGACGGGCTGCTATGGGTACCCTGTGAGAATCGTGAAAGCAGCCGCCAACCAAGAAACCAGAGCAAAGCTTACATAGCACCGAGCTGGAGCTGGGCTGGCGTCCAAAAGGAAGTGAGCTATGCTTACCTGAGACAGAAAGCCCGGGGGTCGCCGAGATACTACCCAGAATTTGATATCAACAATTCAGACTGTGTCTTGGACAGCCATCACAACCCTTTTGGCACTGTATCTGCTGGATGGCTACGTCTCAAGGGCCCTGCCCTACCAGCAACACTCGCCGCTCTTGCCGATCGGAAACCTCCTCTAATCAGGGGCAAGCTGCAGACAGATGGCATTCCCAACGCCGACAGGGCTGATTTGATGGACTTCATTGCGGATGACCCCGTCACGCTCCAAGGTCGAGTGGGACACCGAGTCTGGCTTCTGCCGGTCGTGCAGAGAAGTACGCGAGATACGTGGTCTCTCGCCCTCGTGTTGGCAGAGCCGTTTTCGATGACCAGCAAGGGGCGGAGCGGCGTTGACGACCTACCGGATACCGTGCGTAACCACCACACAGTCTTGCAGCGGGTTGGGCTTATGGAGAGCTATTGCCATGACGATCTGCAACATGATCGATACTCGGAGGAGATTGACTTCTATTTGATTTGATTCACGGGTCCGGCCCTCTTTGTCAATCACGAGCTTGGCTCGGCCAAGCGCAATAGTGTACCAGAGGGAAATCCCATCGCATGATATCACAGACTGCCAGGAAGACTCCACGACGTGGTGCGGTGCGACAGTAAGGGTACAAGGCTAGAGATGACACGCTGCGAATCTGGAAGCGTTTTTCTTGGCTACTGTACCCTCTGCGGCATCAGCCCGCTCAGGATCCGGGACGGCTTCCAGGAACAAGGATCATGCTGACCTGAGGGGCAATGCTGCATCCCACTTCACTGCTCTCTCGCAGATTCAAACAACTCGCCCAATCTCGCGCAAAACAATGGCAGGCAGCCACCCGCCATACGTCTACGAGCCCCTGAACAACGGCAAGATCCGCCTGTTGTATGTATCGACGACCGAAACCCACGCCGGCGAGCCGCCAGCGTGGACAATCCGTACAGAGCGTCTTGTCCGGCCCGACAACGAACCGCCGCTGCGATACGACGCACTCTCGTACACATGGGGAGACCGCGACCACGCCTTCACCTTCATCTGCAACGGAGGCCAAGAGCTGCAGATCCACAAGAACCTCCACGACGCGCTGCCGTATCTCGCGAGGCGCAGGTCGTCGCTGCCCATCTGGATCGACGCGCTGTGCATCAACCAGGCCGACGAGGCCGAAAAGGCGGAGCAGATTGGCTTGATGCATCACGTCTATCGGCAAGCGGACATGGTCTGCATCTGGCTAGGCCCGTGGTCAGGACCTGGCACTCACGCTGACGCAGGCGGCGGCTCGGGCAGGTCATGCCGGAGCTCCACGCCCTGCGCCGCGCCGGGGAGGAGCGTGACCCGGCCGAGTTTGGTCTGCCCGGCGGTGCCGACCCCGCCTGGGCCGCCCTCGACGAGCTGGCCAACAAGAAGTGGTTCTGCCGCCTGTGGGTCGTGCAAGAAACACAACCTCCGACGAACCAGCTCTCCACCGTTACGATGACCGTCAGCCAACGTTCTGTCCGCGATTTGTTTGACTTTTCGTTTTCTGTAATCAGAGATGTGGCCAGCCACCCCTCTCTTACCTTTAAAGCCTCGGACTCCCCTCACGCTCTGGTATGTCCTTTTCTTTTCTGTTTTCGTCATTAGCAGCAACTCTGTGCGTCCGCCACCTCACTCTACAACACATCAAGTCGTTGACATGGTCAAGTGAAGACCAACGCGAAAGACGAGCCACGTATCTGATCGAAACCAGGGAACTTTGGTGGACATGTACATGACTTCCTCGCGCATCTTCTTATTGATGGCCTGCACCTCGATCGCTGAGCCAAGGGTGAGCAAGATAGAAGAGAGGTAGTCCGTCACGATGAGGGGATTGGTTGAGTGGCGGACTTCGGCTATCTTTGTGCCTGCTTTTTTGGCCGTAGGCTGCGAAAACGCCGCGTCCTGGTCGCTCATTTTGCTGATCGCGAGGACCAGGGTTCCCATGACGTCGTCTTGCAGGAGAGAATAGACAGGAACGGCGACAGCCTGGCCGGGAAACGTTCGGATGAGTCTGCCTCTGTTGTCCACGATGGGTCCGTTGGAAGAAGTGCGCTCGAACATCTCGAAGTGGACATCGTCAGCGACACGATTTATGAGCATGCCAGCATTCTGCGAAGTGACCTGGAGGAGCATACAGCCACCTAAAAGAAGAGAAGAGGTTCTTCAGTCAGTCACCAAATATGGCAGTACAGGCATTATGCTCCGTACCTTTCGTGCACAGGTCTCGGAGCCTTGTTGCAAGCATCTCGGGCTGGACGGATACCTGGCTGTCGCCGATGGCGTGCAGCTCGGAGAAGGTGAGCAGCACATTGGCAGCTGTCTTCGTAACAGACTGGTGAAAGCCTTCTGAGTGGTGCTCAAAATCTTGCAGAGCTTGGGTGACAAATCCCACAAGGCTTCGGACACATGCCTGAGAATAATCGTGCTGTTGAGGCAGCTGCGGCGGCAGGAAAAGGTGATTGATGGCGTAGAGGATGCTCTCGCGAGTCATCCCATCCCTAGCAGGCGCCATAGCGAAAGCTCAGTACCAGCCAGGGCGAGGACGCAAGTGAGAGATTCTGAGCGGCAGATATGAGGGGTTCGAAATATCGAGCTGGCGAGGCCTGCAATATCCCCTCTCTGAGATTAGGGAGAAAGGTGAAGGGGAAAGGGGGGAGGGCAAGGTCGGGTCGAGATTGGTGGGAGAGAGAATCAGGTAGGTTGCAAAGATAAGGAAAAGCAGCCTAACAGAGCAACTCGGTGCATATCTTTCAGCGGCATGGCAAAGAGCCTTGCGGCTGGCTTGGGTTGCAATCGAGGCTGAGCTTCCCTGTTGCTGTGTTTATGTTGGGAGACTGCCCAGACGAGCCAGGCAGCCTCACTGTTGGTGGTCGGCCTCCCGCAGGCAAAAGAACCAACAATGACGTGGCACCACCCACACGCTGCATCCCGCCCACGCGCCGGTCTCACATTCATCTTTTTTCTTTTCCATGTGGAGTGAAAAGCACTGTTCTTTGCCCCCGTCTTTGTGGTCTCGTGGTTTTCTCTTCAACGGAAGACTTTCCAACACTTTGATCTGTTTCATGTCCTGCGCGCAGGGCTGCCCTCGTCGCTGAAGTAAGCAGGCCTGCATGGGTGTGCTTCAGCTGCTGCGGAGCAATGTGCCGCGGGATACTGTCATGCTGTGGTCGCAGCAGCTGGCATGCATTCACTTTGCTTCCCATAAAAGCTCAACTAGTGACATTCATGAGATTCACCGTAATGGACAAGCTCAAGATGTGAGTTATCGATGTGCCTGGCGGGGGTCGATTGTATTTCGCTAAAAAACGCTGGCTGTGAGCACCAGATACCCCAGTCAACAGCATCCCATACATTCGGCCACTATATAGGCAATCTTGCAAGAAACTCAGGAGACACCATGTGTTAAGTTATATAATACTCAGATTTGTAATGTGTCCAAGAAGAAAAAAGTTCAAGAGCAGTGTCGAGCACCACTGTGTTGCTTCTACCTGCCACCAACCCGTGCCTGCCACGAACAGGGGTGTCCCACTTCCGGATATCAGGATGGTGTGTGCCTTCACTATCCAAGTCGCGATCCGTGCCACAGCCGTTTGCCGCAATATCGGCGGGCGCAAACGAACCCGCTGCCGAGCGCGACCAAAGGCGGACGCGCTTAGGGGAAGTTGTTGCGGGCAGAGATAACCGCATTAACCAGGCCTGGTCGGTTGCCCACACTATTTGCACACCGTGGCTGTCCATGGTGTTGTCCTTGGCGTTGAACTTGCCGATGGGGGAGAATGGCGAGACCTGGAGGTGAATTTTTGGCGGAGGCGCGGGCCGATCCTCTGAGCCGCCACCGCGGCGCTTTGTCTTCTTCTCCTTCTCATTGGGATCCGGATGTATAACAGTGAACGGGCAGTCGGCCACGTTTTCAGTGGACTCCTCCGGCCGAGGCCGCTTGCGAGCGGTGGCCATTGCTGCAGAATCGTATGTTCTTAGAACCTTGAAGATTGGCGTGCTCCTTTGGCAGGGTCGTTACCTGTTTGCTATGCCGATATTCGCGCGTGGGATTCAAGCGACGTGTCCGGGTCGCGTGGACGGCTGAGCGGTAGCCGAGGATGGAACTCGGACGGTTGAAGCTCAGCGCGATCTCTTGTAAAGGAAACTAGAGCAAGTAAGCCCAGACAGCAGCGGAGAGTCTGCAACAAAGCGCCGCGTTGGAGTTGCGCGCAGCCTCGGAGGCGTGGTGGCAAGTGCTGCGCGGATGGCGCAGCAGGAGCCACGACAAGATCCGCAGCTAGAGAGCTACGCTGGCGTGGCGCACGCGGCAGGGGACCCTGTCTCTATCCAGCGGCAAAAAGGAGGGATGCTGCCCACGATGATATGAGACTTGCAGCAGGCAAAGAGGATGGATATCGGCTGCTATGCGCGGCGCAGGCGAGGAAAAGCTTGTAGAGGTGTGTGGGCTTGGTTTGGGCGGGTGATGCGGCCCGAGGTGCTGACTGACGCGCAGACGCGGAGGCGCGCACGGCTTTGAACAAGGAGCGAATTCGAGCTATTCTGAGAGAGCGACGAGAGCGCAGGCGTTTTCGCGATTTGACAGGCGCGATGATTGAGACGGAGCGGCGCGCGGCGGTGAGGCCCACGTGCAGCGGCTACTCTAGTGGACAAGGGTGTGGGCCGGCGGCCAGCGCGGCGCGTGGGAATCAGCTCGTGCTTGGGTAGGTGGGCAGGCAGCACCATCTAGCAACTCGACAAGCTGCAGCTCGTCAGAATGGGCTGGCCACTGTCCTTCTCGTTATGGGCACCAACCAGCACAACACCACCTCCTCCGAAATCCTGGTGGCGGGGGTGAATCGTGTCAGCCAAGCCCAGCCGCCTCTGCTTTTGTGTGTTCCCCCGCCATGCTGGGCACCACCACAACGACCTAAAGTCAGATTCTCAATTAAGGCACCACCAAATGCAGAAGATTACGCCGAGTATTATACTCACGCGCCAATCCCTCTGGACCTGTAATGCGATACGCAGAGGCCTAATTCGTGACAACACGAGATCCTCCGATGATCATTACCAGGGCCTTCTGGATGCTGGACAGAGCTGGCATGCAGACCAGCTGCGCGCTGGAGCTCGGCCATGTCCTTGCCGGCCGGCCCATCTGGCGGACCCACGGCGACTTCAAAGTCGACGCCGGTCTCGTTGCCAATTGTCCGGTCCCGCTCCGCATATTCGGTCGCCTCACAGTCTTGACCTCCACCACCGCCATCCGGCCCCGGCTCCGCCCTTGCATGCGTGGTAGCTTGCCCCGCTGCTAGCGTTCCTACGATCCAGTACCGCGTGCGGTGCATTGCCGACGAGAACGACTGTAGTCTCACTTCTTTCCAATGCGCGTGGCCTATGCCTGCCGAACAGTCCTTTTGGCTGGGATCATGGCTGACCGCCTCTCTAGCCCGGTGCTTCAGAATCTCTTCCCGCCTTCTCGTCACGAATCGGCACGCTATACAGCAGAATCCGGAGTAGACCTAGAGCTCCGTGATAGTTGGACTGCCGCCCACCGGGGGCTCTGCCTCGTATGGGTCCACGTGCCCTTGGAAGCCTTCTACTGCTGCTGCCGCTGCTGATTTGACCGCCCGTAGCTGGCCGCCCTTGAGCCGGTGCCTCGCGGAACCTAGAGCACCCATGCATATGGAGCGAGGTATTCTCCACACACTCGCAGACCAGATGCTTGGCCATCGTTTGCAGGCAACGTCTCGCTGATCACGGTGGGCCCGCTTTCTCAGTCTCCCGCCCACTTCCGTTCAGGACACCAGCTAGATGCCGCTCGAATAGAGAGTCCAGTAGTGGATTTCTATGGAATTCAAAGAACACCAATGAGTGTATAAAACCCACAGCTATCGTATATTATGATGGGAGGAGGATGCCGTGAAGGCCCTTTTTAATAGGTAGGTGCACGAAGGCGTACTCAGGACGACCTCTTCCTTTTGGAAAGCCCCACTGTGCCGGGGTCCTCACGTCGTGTGTTGGGCGCTCACGATAGCCCAATTACAGGTATGATCCAGCGTGTTCTATCTTTCAAGCATATCCATCGCGTGTATCACTCTTGGACGGCAGCTTGACATTTGGTCAGTGCGCCTCTATCCTTGTCAATATATCTTCGGTTGCCGCACACTCGACGGCACGCCCACCAATGTTGGGTTTAAGTTAACGTGCGCGGGGTTGCCTAAAGTCTCGTCAAATGATGGTCAACTACTATGTGCGGGTCTTTCTAAAACGCTCTATGACTCCGAAAGGACTACAACCATACGCTCTATGGCGAGAGCGAAAGTTGTCTGGTAAAGGGGAATTCGGAATGGGTCGCTGAGAGTTGCGAGAAGCATTCCACTAGCGATGTTACCCGTCTAACACAAAAGTGCGTGCCCGGCGTCGTCAGTAGTGCTGGGTCGGATGCATCTTTGCGGTGGCTCGGAGCCTTGGTGGTCCTTCACATGTTCGAAATGGTGCTCAGAAGTTCGTCCCCCTTCGCTCGTCCAGTTATCCGCGGAATGAGAAGCGTCGCCACTATTCCAGGCTTTGTCACCCATAAGCGGGAATTCGCAGGGCTTTCAAGCCGAGCTGGCCATATGGGGCGCGTGAGCACTTGGGCATCGCTTCGTGGTAATGCCGGAGCGGAACAGAATTGCAGGCGCCGTTTGCAACACGATCGGGTCCCACGACTTCGGTTACCCAGGCTGAAGGTGGGATGAATGTGGAGGCATGCAGAGCGTGATAATATTGTTCTGCTAGCAATGGAGCTCGAATTCGGTCGAGTGGTGGCTCTCGTGGCCGTCGAGGATCAATAACCGGTATTTGCCTTTCGTACGAGGTGCTGTATGGAAGTCGAAGTGCTTGATCCAATCTAGGCCTACCGCATTGGTAGTCCAACCATTATCGGTGGTTGCCATGCGCCAGTCGGCCGGGAGGTTGCACTCGGTATACCAGTTGGCGAGGTGGTACTGTGCGGCCAAGATGATGAAGGAGGGGATGGCCCAGCCGAGGGCATTGACTCCCTGGATCACCGTTGCCCATTCGCGGTTGCCAGGCTGGGCCAGCTTTGCCTTGCTACGGCCATCCGAGGTCGTAACTACCATACCCGCGAAGATGATGCCCATCATGAACCCAGTCTCGTCGAAGTTGTAGATATCGTCATCCACAATACCGTACTTGGCCTTGACGTTCCGAACAAGGGCAAACCACTCGCCAATGACCTTTGGATCCTCACACTTGGCCCTCTGGTAGTCGTATCTACGCGTATAACGCGTACGGAGCTCTGGCTGGCGTTTGACAAATCGATGGGCCCAGAGTTGACCGACAGGAGGCGCGTCGCGTACGCGTAGCAGTTGGTTGGCCATATCTTCCACACCACACAATCTAGGTGGAAAAGCTCGCGTAGATAGCTCAACAATATATTGAACAATAGCTTCTTCTTCTGACTGAGTAAGCTTCTTCGACTTGGGCGTACTGTCGCATCGTGCAAGCTTGCCGTCGCGTCGGCGCCCTAGAGTCTTACGGGCGACCCCGTAAATCTCAGCAGCGGCTCGCACGCTTAGATTTTTGTCGTTTTGAAGAGCCCCGAGGGCCAAGATTATCTGGGCTTCCTTTGAAGTAGATGGCATATTGGGTGACTGAGAAAATTAGGTGTTGAGAGCGAAGGTGTCGCGTCGCGTAGAAAGTGGGCCACTCGCTGATATGGGCCACTCACTGATAATGTACGTTATAACACGATCGAAATGGTACCTCTCCTCGGGGCGCACGAAGACAAACACCCACTTCGGGCGGATCTTGTAACAAAACTCCGAGAGAGCACCACAAGCTTCTAATAAAAGTCTCCAAGCTCACGAACATTAGATAGAGTGATGGACTTACTTGCGAAAATGCCCCAGCGCTCCGTCATCTCCTTCATCTGAACATACAGCTGATCTCTAATCGTAGACTCTATGAGCGCATTAGGAACTTGCACGTCAGGGTAGCTGTGAGCGAAGGTAGGACGCCTCCCTTGTATCCGGCAACCAAGCACATAATCCCATTATAGATCTGAATACGGAGGGGCTGTAATGAGATCATTTGAATGGTGAAGCTTCGGCTCCGATGCGCCACAGAATCGTGGTTCCCGTTCCTCGTTGTGCAAGAGTTTCGATGCAGCGATCGCCGTGGTGGAATGACGAGGCAGTAAGAAAGTGGGATTGGAGTCACTTGACAGGTAACACCGGCTAGCTCAATTGCTATGGCGGCACAATGACTGGTGGGCACAGCGGCGTCCTGTGAAGTAGCCAGGTCATAAAGTGTGTTTGTATGATAATCATGTGACTTAAACGTGCTCTTTGAAGGCTGCGGAATAACGCACCACAAAGGAGTAATGTTGGTAGCAGCCGGCGTGGGCGCCTGAGATGCGGGGCCAGCAACGGTTCCCCACGCCAGCCTACTGCTGTGGTTGAAGTTGCCGTTGCCCCCGAGCTGTGCAGATTCGTTTTCGTCGTCGTTGTCTGTTCCTGTGAGCCGCGCCTCTTTCCAAGCTAGCAGCAGAAACCACTCGTGACCCTTGATACATAACACTCGTAGCGACGGCACGTCGGTCAATTTTGCATTGCCAGCTGATTCTCCTCCGTTTCCGGTGCTGTGTCTGGTTTGGCCTCGGCCACATTGAAGCATTATCCGAGGATGTAGATAATGACGTGTCACTCTCCAGCCGAAAGAGCGTATCCAGAGATGAGATGACATTTTCCGTGTTCCCAGCTACAATCCATGATTCTTATGAGTGATCTATGACGGGCCGTTGGACTGTTTGAGGCCAGTCCAGAACAGGATGCATGAGCATGGCCAACCTCTTTAGCATCAGGCAACTAGCCAATCCATGAAGACCTCCTAGGTCGTTCTCTCCTCGCGGATATGTTAGAATCTTTTCCTTTTTGCGTCACCACTATAACCCAGTTACGAACCGAAAA